CGTCAACTACTACAACCGCGACCTCTCGGCTCTCGAGCCGGCCATCGAACCCTTCATGTACGTGCTAACTTGAGCCACTTCATCGCCTTGTCAGCCACCCCTGTCGTTTGGATCCACAACAAACCAATCAGAATGTGCAGCACAGTGACCTTGAACTGAGCCGATCATAGCTGGTGCAAGGAGATGTCCTAAACCGTCGTGAATATTAGTTTTGCGGTAGATCCACTAGGGTGAATGGTACTTGTTACTTTGATGAAAACGTGAGTTAAACGTTGCAATATGATCGGATCAGCAGACAAACGATTCAGTTGCACAGTGTCCCGCTTGAACACCCGGTCTCCATCGATCAACCTTGGCACCGCCTGGGCAGGCTTGGTGTTCAGCAGTTCAGGGCGCAAACGCTCTAGTGCCGTTGTAGGCCAAAAGGGCACACTTGTTGCATGTCTTCCAGTAGTGGTGCAGTATATTCGACCTTGAAAAACTGACTGTGAACTCTCAATTTGACTTCTTCCTTATTGGTCGATCCAATTCAAGGTCATATCGGATGTTCATCACGATCGATAAATTTCATTTGAAAGTGCTATTTTTTTTCAGTTATCTGCAACCTGGTTAATTAAGTCATGTTTGCAATTATTCCTCAGTTGTATCTGCGATTGGCGTTTTCGATCGGATCGTTCGGGTGGTGATTGTGCCACCTTCGAGGTGCACTGTAAGTTCTCCATTTTCAACCGTCGTACTTAAATCGTTTCAGTAACCATTATGTTATGTACTTTATTTCGCATTCAGCGCCGGATACCATCAACGTAAATCTCACCGTGCCACTCGTGAGCCTGATGCAGCTCATCGTCGATAAGACACGCTCGGCGTCTTTAAGGAAGCAGCGTCGTCGGACCCCCTTCGTGCCCTTCTGCCTGTCCAATCAAACAGGAGTGCCTCTTCGGTTCAAAAAAGTCACCGATTCAACTTTCGTGGGAGGTAGAGACCAGAGGTTAGTTGAAGCGCCGTCGTGACACGCCCTTTCCTGCCTGTTCACGTTGTAGAGTAGTGACGTTCAAGGGCATTCGATCGATTTTATTTGATTATTGATATCGATTTTTCGATTTCTAGTCCGACTCCTGACGTTGAGGTTAGCGACCCGGAGGACGAATGGGTTCTGGTTGAGCCCGACGCTGAAATTGTCGATCTACCCTTCCAACCGGCGTTAACCGCCACCGGTCGTGCCGCGACCTTGAAGCAAGGGACCAATCAACAAAGTGCAGCCGGTCGTCCCCCGCCTGCAACCCCTAGGTTGATGCTTGAGGTCGAAGGGTGGCTGCCTGCTTACCCTGTGGCCCTCGATCGTTTGGGGGTGTTCTATCGTACTATTCGATTGAGGAAGCAGGATAGTGCTCAGTTGGCAAGTTCTTGTACCTATTTAACGTCGGTTTTTATTCAGTTATCAAACTGACCAATCAAATTCAAGCGAAAGGCATCCAATCACATCATAGCAGTCACACATTTCGTCTTGTTAAAACAGCTGATCAGGCCTGAATCTAAAGGCGTTTTATGTCCTACGAGTGAGGCATAAGAGGAAATGTTAGTGATAAATCAGAAATTGGCTTGAATGTGTCAGCTATTAAACCAGCCAATCAGGTGTGAGTAAAAAGCCTCCAATGAGTCCGCAGCGCCGCGATTCAACCAAGCCCGAATCTGAGGCGTTTTCGGTCCTATGAATGTCACATAACAGGAAATGTCGGTGAAAATGAGAAACTAGCGCAAATTTGTCAGCAATTAAACCAGCCAATCAGATGCAAGCGAAACGCCTTTAACCCTCTGGTTGTTCGAACGCGCCAATTTCGAAGAGACCAAAACTGTTCGCTCACGCATCGCCTGCTCCTCTTGCGCACATGTCACTTTGGCGAACTGACAAACTGGGTTTTTTGTTTTAATGCCTTATAGGATCCACTGTTTCCTCAACTCACTCCACTGACGCGTCTGGTGATAGAGATTGTTCGTCGCGGCTCCGCCCAGAACCTCGTCATCGTGCGCTCCGGACTGACCGTCACGAATCGTCTCTCGCCTCGCTTCGACCTCGAGGTGGGACTGGCTGTGGGTCCCCTTCAGCAGTCCGGGCCTGCCCTCCCCTCGCGTCTCCCCGTGGCTCCCGCCGGTCCAGGGGGTCTGCAGATCCCCTTCGGCGAGACCCGACCCCTCCCTCTGCCTCTGGCCTCCCGGGCCGCTGGCAGGCTCTGCTTCCGTCCGGTCTGCGCGGACGCCAAAGCCGACGTCTTCTTCGACTGGTCCCAGCAAGTCTGCCCTGTGGTGCCCGACGTCGATCAGGAGGAGGGCGACGCGGTGCGAGTGAAGTCCGTGGGTCTCCGGCCGGCTGTCTCGCCCGATGAGGTCATGGACTGGAGAAAATTAACCAAGTCCGGTAATTCACGCCTTGCTTCTCCTTCTCCTCCGTTGCCTGTCGGGTTGAATTTTCAGTCACGCTACTACTTCTCTCACTTCTAGGTGAAGCGGATGAATGCGTGGTGCTGTGCCGTCGTCTGAGATCCGGCAGCGACATCGGCCTCTACTCGGCCACGTCTGGGGAGTCCTTGTCAAGGCAACCGGATCTGCCCAGCCCCTGGCAACTGTGTGTAAACGTCGTCCGTGAGGCCTTTCCGCCTGATCCTCTTTTCCGTGGAGGTGTGTATTCTACAATCTAACCCCTACTTTGGCACTTCAGCAGCCTAAATGTCTTTCTGTGCCCCAATAAGGTCCTTCGGTGCTTCCTGGTCATCACGTGACCGTCGGACCTGTCTTGCGATTGGTCAATCTCCTGCCCTGTGAACTATCATACTTCGTCGACGGTACACCAATCCACGGACGTCTTCCTGCCAACAAAGCCGCGTCTATCTTTGAGGTGAGTGAATGCTCGCTTGGTTGGCTGTCAGAGCATCGACCGCTGATTGGCCGAGCCAGATGATTGGTTGTCCGTCAGCTACCCTATGCACCTCGCTCCTCCTGTCGGCAATGCTTGACAATTTACTGTCGTGCCATTAGGTGAGCTGCGTGCATGCCCTCCGCTTTGGAGTCTACCTGGATGGTTTCCAACGCTGCCAGCCCATCTACGTTCCCCCGGTGACCTTCTCTGAAACCGTGCTCATCAGCCTCTTCGACCACTTTGGAAGGTCGCTCCAACTGAAGGCCGAAATGTGCACAAAGGCGTATGGCGTGCGCCACGTGACGATAACCGCCGTGTGCTGGCTGATCAACAACTCGGGTCTGCCGCTGGTTTTCGCTCAGCAGGCGTCCTCCAACATCGCCTCGCCTAATGAATGGAAGGCGCCTGGATCCCCAGAGCACCGGGCATTGGCAGCCGGCCAGTCGCTGGACCAGGAGCTGGCGCGTCTCGCTTCGCCCCTCCTCTTCTCGCCGCTGGTCGGAACTGCCGCTGAGTTTCCGCCCTCGTGGAGTCTCCAGGTGCGCATCGGTGCCCACCACAGCCCCACTGAGGGCGACAGTGGAACCGGCGTCAAGCGCTCCTGGGTTCCCCGGTGGTCGCCGCCTGTGGCGTTGGATAAGAATGACGAGGCGTTGCTTTTGCGCCTCAAATCCACCTATCAGGATCGGTTAGTCGGATGCTCTATAGCTTATTGGTTGGCTATGCTTGTGAATCTCTCTCATTGGCTCGCCCCGCTTTTTTCTTCTCCCCGGTTGTGTAGGCCCGATCTGCTCTACAGCGTCGGCGTCGAGGTTCGCAAAGGCGGTGGACTGCACAGCGCTACGACGATAGTCACTTTTGTGCCGCGGTTTGTCATCAGCAACCAGACCAACTTCCAGCTGCAATTCGCTCAACGGTTTTGCGTCGACTCGACGACCTACCGACCTAGTGCGTTTAACCATCACTGTCTTTTCTTTACACTCGGCCGCACACACTTGCACGAGTCTTTTTTATGGCAAAACATCAACCCTAACTCATCATCACACAATCCCATCCACGCTTACTTCCTCTGTACGACGTTCTCGTTGTAGTGGACGTCCATCCGCAGTGCAGTCTGCCCTTCCACTGGCCCCGCCAGGACTTGGACCAGATTCTGTGTTTCCGTGCCCTCCTTGCCGGTGATACGTGGCTCCCAGACCAACGAACCAGTCCCACCCTCGTCGCCACGCATTGGTCCGGCGGCGTGCAAATCGACAAGCCGCGTTCCTACCACCTCATGCTTCGGTGAGTGTAACAACGAAGTACCAACGCCTGTGAGAGAAATTATTGGCTGACTTGGAGTTTGCTGGGTGTCAAGTAGACCCATCATGTGTAGGCCAGGCGGGATTCCTCCGGATATGTCTTGATTTCTGCGGAAATCGATAGCAGAATGCCAAACCCATGACTTAAATACCGGTAACCAGACACACACACCTGACAAGCGAGTGAACGTGATGTGGTTCGTGTTCGCGTCCCGCCACTGTCCCCCTCTTTTTTTCATTTCCTCGTCTAATTAATTTTAATCTTTCAGCATTCCACTAACAAATTCTAGATTAGGAAGTCGCTCACAAGTATGTGTCTCGATTGCTAGCTGTCTACATGCGAAGAACAACCTTGAAAGTGATGCTTATTGTGAAAAACACGTCAAGTACAACACGGTGAAGCAGCGTGCGCAGTTAATGGAATTCACTGTTTTGAAGAGATCCAACTGGGTCAAGGTTGTGATCCGGAAACAGAGATGGCTTACATTTAAAATTGTGATTTTTCATTGTTTGAAGTCGATGCGAGCCATGCGTATTTAATCATTGGCCGAAATGGAGACACGCTCGCTCGATTGCCAAGCGTTAAACTTAATTATCGGTTACCATAGCAAGCAGAGTCTGTGAGGCGAAATCTTATCATCGTGGAACTCAGGCCGTAACCCCCTTGACTGTGTCCAAGTCTCCGTTTTTACACGTTTAACGATTCCCGTGTCAGGTAACGATGATGTGCACGTAGACAGACACCCCTTCCACGTTGCTCTTTGTCCGAGATCTCCATCACAGCTACGAATGGATGAGGTGGAAGCGCGTGGTGTGTATGAAGGCATTGACAACTTTGCATTGTTAGCTTGACGTTGTGAACGAGTGTTTGGTTGCCTCGAACGAGTTTTTTTTTGGATCTAAGCATAGCGCAGAGATTACCGACGGTCGACAATGCAAACACTACTGTCAGCTGTTGTTCCAACATGCAAATTCAATCACAGCTACGGGTGGATGAGGTGGAAGGAAGTGGTGTCTGAGAGGACGTTGCTGGTGCACTGACAGCTTAGCATTGGTTTCCTCGCGCTGTGAATGAGTGTGTGTGTGTGTGTGTGGTTGTCTTGTCCGGTTGTTTTAAAGGCTTGACTGAGGTACAGAAGGGGTGGTTCTTTCGTTAGTTCCATTCGAGGTGATTGACTGAAGCGCAGGCGAGCTCACTAGCTTGTCAATTTTGTGTGTGTAGTTACGCTTATCTAAGCTACACTTTAAACTACACCATCGATTTCCCCTGAAACCATGCAATATCTAGGCAAGTCCTGCTAGCCTAGTGAGTCATTTTTGAAACTAAAGGAACACTTGTGGCGGTCGATGTCAAACAGCTCGCCTTGAGTTGTCTTGGATGTCTACCTAAAACACTGTTTCGTTTTTAAATGCCGCAAATCAATCCCTAATTCGCAGAATGCCCGCTCGCTCGCGATCAGGACCTTCTTCTTCTTCTGTCTCCACCACCGCGGCCTATCCAGAGCCCCTCTTCCTGCGCGTTGACATTGTTCTTCGCAGCGCCACGTTATTTGTCATCGTCAGTGACGCCACGCACCTGCCTCCGCCTTACCGAATCGAAAATCAAAGTCCTGTCGCCCTGTTCTACCAACAGGCACCGATGGCCGGCGTGGAGATGCCTCCACAGCAGGCCTCATATGCGTCTTCGAGGGGCAGTAACGGTAGATGGTCTGGCGGCATATTCCTGAGTCGTCTGCCACCTCGGTCGACTGTCAGTTATGCTCCTGACGAACCGCTTCTGCCTCCACAACTGTCGGTCGGAGTTCACGTGAGCGCCGTGCACTTTCGCGTGTTGGATACACCCTTGTGGAAATGCAATTCCCCACTATTGATTATTGATTTTAGGGAGACCTGAGCTACATCTATGACCTGTCTAAGCCCGGACCCGGTCCACGTCTGGTCTACGACAACTGTGTCTACGTGTCAGTTTGCGGCGTGGCCGGAGATGATGTCAGCACTGCGGGCGTCGTGGACTTCCCGGTTCTCGATGTTCCACTGGACGACGAGGAGGAGACCACAGCCGGCGTGAAGCGCGTTCTGCTGCGGCGGAAACGTCCCGGGGAACGCTCGCAGCTCTGGTACGTCTCGAGTCAGGGCTACCTGGTCCACGAAGGTTCTGCGGCTCCGCAAGCTCCCAGGGGTTCAACAAGACAACGGGGCCGGGTGTTGTCTGCGCGCACCTGGGTTCTCGACGTGGACACCTCCACAAAGAGCGTTGCAAATGTCATCGCCCAGTCCTCTATCGATCCTCGGACGTTGGAAAACTTCGAGGTCGGAGTGCTGTGTCTCGCGCGTCTCTCGAAGCGACGGCAAAACACCCAGTCGTGGGTGTTCGAACGAGTGAGGCGCGCGTTGTTTACCCTCTTCGGTTGTCTCGTGGCGCGGCTGCGTCCACCTACTGCCTTCTTTGTCCGTTGTAGCGCGGATTTCTGATGAACGCGGCGTCGTTTTGTGTGCAGGCCAAACGACGAAACCCACGCGTTGGCAACCCTTCCGCAGACACCGGAGAGCCCATTTTTGTGGCGCGTCCGCGTTTTCGCGGTCAAAGGTCGGCTGTTTCACGTGATGGTGGTAGCGGTGGTGTTATCGGACGGTGCCTTCTCAGCGAGAGTCTGGCTGCTGCTCGCATCTCCTACACCTGGCTGCGCCCCGGTTCTGGGTCGCTCTGCGTCGAGGTACTCACCGAGGGACCCGTCCGTGTCCTACGCATCTCCGATCCACAGGAGTGTGATCAACCGGCCAATCAAACACCAGTAACTATTACCGCCAGCAGTGGTTGTCGCGAGTTGAAGCCTTTTGCTGCAAATAACATGCATTTTCCTCTTCTAGTTTACCACGAAGGCAAGGCCTGGGTCAGAGCAACCACAGGAGGGTCCCACAAGCCTTCGGGTAAGCTTGAGCGCATTCGCGACATTGTTTCAATCTGTTTCAGTCCACGTAATGCCGAGTTCTTTTTTCCCCCTTCCAGCTGCTTATCGATCTTCCCTCGGGCCTCGGGGTGTCTGTCATGTCCGCGCACCTTGAGGAGCTGTGCTACGCGAGCCTAATGGGTCTGCGTCTCTCGCTAGATCGATTCTACCCTGGAGGCGCCACGGTCAACGCCGCCAGCACCATCGACGGCGCCTTGCCAGCGATTGGCCAGGAGACCGCTGAAGATGTGGATGTTGTCTTTGTTGAGGCGCCACACTCCACCACCTCGCGTTCTGAGGCAAGACCAGCCGAGAAGGAGTATCCTTCTAGTTGTCGTGCTCGTTGTCCTGTTGAACAGGCGATGCTGTCCATCGAGCGAATACAGGTTCGACTTACTTCTTTGTCCACGCTCAAAGACATAGTCACCTAGTACCTTGCGTCTGATTCCACCCGATTTCGGTTTTTCTTCGCTGTGTAGGTCGACAATCAGATCGCTGGAGCCAGTTTGCCGGTCTTGCTCTTCCGTGCTCCACCGGTTGTTCCAACGTCCACGTCGGGGGCTCCACAGACCTCCAGGAGTGTGGTGGAGGGTCGGCCGATTCGAACGACAGACGGTGGTGAGTGGATACGACGAAGGGAACTGGAGCGTCTGTTGCAAGGCGATCTGCCGCCGTCCACTGGGTCTGACACTGCCTGGCATCAGTCGTCGTCGTCTTCTTCGTCGCCGCCGCCGCCGAACCTCATCACGCGTTCCTTGCGGCTGCTCCACACTGGCTGGAATGCTGAGATCTTCACGCTCTTTGAAGTAGGCCAAATTTTTGGGTCCTCCTTCTCTCTTCAATTTCATCTAACCCATCCGTGTTTGTTTTAGCTACAACTCAACAAGATGGTTATCCAAGCGGAGGAATTGTTGCTACTCAAGTTAATCCAATTCAGTCGAAACTTTGGAATCGGTAGTCGAACGATCATGGCGAAAGCAGTGTCTACTGAGGATGCCAAACTGATCGATTTTTTGCAGGAGGGTGTGGTTGAAGCCGAAGGAGCCTATTCTAGGTATGTCTTGTCCGCAAATCATTCCCTATTAGAGCATACTCACACTCCCTCTGTTCACAATTCGTCGCCAACACCGACAGCAGAAATGGTTCCACGCTCGCTCAGCTAAGCACACACTTAGTCGATGTTTTATTTTTCATGCCACCTCCAGACAAATCTCTCCACCAACAATCACCTCGCGTGACTTCTTCTACTTCGATCGTCTGCGCGTGCTGTTCGCGCCGATTCGCGTTACCGTGCAAACCGCGGAAGGACGCCTCGGGCCGGAGTTCAATGACGTGAAGCGACTTCTGCCGAAACTCATGTCCTTCACTGACGCCGACCTAAGACTGGGTTAGTTGCCTTGCTAATCGGGTGCCGTGTGACTAGATTCGGCACTTTCGGTAGACACCATTGTTTACTGAAAGATTGTTCTGTGTCAAATTTTGATGTTGAATTGCAGGGGAATTTGAGAGACGCCATTGCCTGGAGTCTGGACGCTTCCTCGTTGACCAGTTGGCGTTGCATTTTGAGCTGCAGCTGCGAGCTCAGGCACTGCGTATCTTCGGATCGGTTGACCTCCTTGGGAATCCGCTCGGTTTCATGTCGGACATCTCTTCGGGAATCTCCGATCTCGCCGACATGGACCTCTCGGGCCTCGTGCGAAACGTCGCCCATGGAGTCGGTGACAGCACTGCTAAGGTTCGACAACTCCGCTTTCTGTCCATCGCCACTTGCACGTGACATTAGCCCTTATTGTCGGCCGCTCATTTAAGGTTGTCGGGACGATGTCCCAGCTGGTTCACACTCTCTCCATGGACGAAGGCCACCAACGCCAACGACGAGCGATCATGGCGTCGGGTGGAGCTGCAGCCTGTCCAACTCCGTCGTCGTCGTCGTCTTCTGAGGCGACGGCCAACCGAGCCTCAGCGTCGCTGCCTTCACCTCTGATCGAGGAGGGCCTGGACGAGTTCGAGTTGACGGCTTCGGTTGGAAGTGCGGACATCGGCGAGGCGTCCAAATTGGGTCTCTCCGCCCAGACAGCCGCGTTCCGCGCTGGATTGCGCGGTTTTGTTCACGGAATCGTGGGTGGTGTCACGTCCATCGTCACCCAGCCCATCCACGGTGCTTGTGAGGAGGACAGCCTGAAGGTGTGTGTGCACTCGTATTTTTTCCTGTTTTCCGAGTGGACTTCACGTTACCTTGACGTGATTCTCTGCCCACAACTTACGCATGAACACTGCATTCAAGTTGCCCGCGTTCGCACTGTTTCATTTAAAAGAAAGAAAACATGCATTCCTGGACGTGAGTAACCTCCACCAATACGCTTGTAGACACAGTGCTTGTGCCAAGCTAAGACACTGCAAATGATTCTACAGTCCACGAATGAACTGATAATCAGACGGTGCAAGGTCAGAGGAATTCGGAAGGTGTAGCAACGCTTTTCTTCCACCGAATTCATTTCAAGAGGCTTCTTTGTGTGTCTTGCTGTGCAAGACGCCACCGCTTTTTATTCAAACCTGCTTTACAACGACGCAGTTGATGATGATGATGGCAGATGTCTGAGGTTCTTGGTTGATTGCTATCTAACAAATCTCCAGTGTTACAAATGAGATGCTGTTGGACTGATCTTCGCTGTCGACTGCTCCAAGGTCGACGGCATGTAACACTGTGGAAGTAACAGGTGCGTCTTAAGAGTGGTGTTTGAAATTGCCGCGAAAGCATTACGTTGTCACAGATTGTCTGGGGAGAGTTCGTTCGGAACCAATTTTCCGATCATAGAAATCTTCCAGACACCGTTTGAACCCAAGACGATCGAAATGATTCCGTAATCCTAGAAAGAGGTGCTAGTCAGACGATGTAAGTTCAGACGAACTCTGAAGATATAGCAAAACCTTCCAGCCAATTTTTTCCGAGAAGTGTATGGTACGGTTGGTGGCCAATGAGGACGACTTTGGAACTAAACGTGCTTTCAAACGACGAACTTGATCGCAGTGAGTGAAGCGACTGTTTGGTTGTTATCTACCAGTTCTATGTGGACTACTCCTTCAAAATTTAATCAAACAATTCCCTTTGAAGTTGTCGCAAAAGCAGTGATCCGCAGAAAGCAGTACGTCGTTGTAGGTTCTCTGGCGCGAGTTTACGTGGGGCCGATGTCCCCATCATTCACACTCCACTCAACCGGCGTACAACGGTGACTGACTTCTTTATACTCCAAACCTCCACTTAACAATGATGTTTTTGTGGATAAAGTTCTCCTCTTGGTTGTGTTGGACTGGTCTTCGTCGTCGACTGCTCCAAGATCGGCAGAAGATCAACATTTCGTCACTAGAAGCAGGCCTGTTTCAAAGTGGTGTTGAAAGTTGTCACCATAGCAAAACTCCACAGCGAGTAACACGCCGTTGTAGGTTCTCTAGTTAGCGCTTATGTGGGACCTATGTTCCAATCATTCAGGCACCACTCAACTGGCACACAACTGTTCCATGAGAAGCCCTGATTTGTTCTAGATGTTGCAGCCCCGAACACATTGGAATCAAGCCATTTTGGTGTGTCATTCCAACTGATCTCTCTGATTCGGAAGCGGGAAAACTGCATCCTGTAGAAGTCGGTATCTCTTTCTCCACAAACGTTAACTCCACGAAGCTGTGTTGTGTTGGCTGATACCGTTGAATGGATTAGAAGAAATGCAAACGTCTGGTCACGTGGATAGAGCGACAAGTGGTGGTGAATGGGCAGGCGGTCCCAGTGACTGACGTGCACGTCGTGAAAAGGTGGATGTGTGTGTGAGGCTGCGACGACCGGATTATTGGACGTGAATGAAGACGAGTCACTACAGCTGAACCGCTCAGTTGGGTTGCTTGTTAAAGGCTCAATGTGGAAGCCCTCGATCTTAAAGGATTGTATTACAATAGATTAGTCCTTAATTGATGCTTACGAACTCACTTTAATTTGGTTTACAAATAATGCTAGCTGACAATCCCACGTTGCATTAAGCATCGCGAATCCACTGTGTTCCTCTTTTGAAGGGGTTTGTGTATGGCGTTGGTCGGGGACTGCTGGGCACCGTGACGAAGCCAGTTGGCGGGGTACTTGATTTGGTGTCGGGTGCGATGACGTCACTGAGAGAAACTGCCCGCCCCTCGTCTAGTGGACGTCCACGACGGATGCGTCCGCGACGCGCTCTCTCCGCCCCGCTTCGGCCCTACTCCCTTGTCGCGTCTATCGGCCAGATGCTGCTACGACGCTTCAGTACGCACCCGCGTCCTCCACTCGAGTCCTCGTCCTGCGAACTTGTCTCGCTTCTCGTCGAAAACGATGATAATGGTAGACTACTCCAGAGACGTTTAATGATGTGTCGAATCGGCACCTTTTTTTTATCGTCCTCCCGTTGTTTTAGAGTCGCACTCCTTCTCAAGTCTCCCAGTGAGTAAATTACTAAAAGCATCTGCTGGAACGTCGAGTCTACCTCGGGAGGGGGAGCAATCGGAGATGGTGATTCGAGTGCTTCCGTGTCAGCTAGGAACTGTGAACGTCATAGTGACCGACCGTGCGGTCTGGTGTGTTCGGAACCTCACCCTCAACTCGTCAACTCGAACCAGCAGCTACTTTGTAAGTTTCTTAGACCTCTAGCCTATCTGCTCCGATGTGACGCCACCTCAAGTCAACTTCCTGCTTTACAGTTCTGCGGCGGAAGGGATGACACAACGAGAGTGATGTTTGTCATACCCTATCGCAACCTCAATTTCGTCCGTCTCCAAAATCGCCCGCAAAAGCCACCCGGTTCGCCAGCCGATTCATTTTATGTGGAGTTTTTAAGCGAGACTCGCAGGCAGGTGCTACGATTCGATCGTGCAGACTGGGCGCGCGACCTGCTCTCTGAGGTTTCTGAGGCCCATTTCCGCTTTGTGCAGACGGTCATGTCGTTGAGGCGGAACCAGTCCGCTGACTTACCGCTCAGGGGCCACCCCCATGGACAATGTCGATAGCCTTTCAGATTTTTAATGTACTAATTTTATAAATGCTGTAACTTATGATGAATCAAGTATACCAGTAGCCTCGTCCGTCTTTTCCTACTTAACGAATAAGAAATACGTCAGCAAATGGTTCTTTTTACCTGCTACATAATAATCACATTAACGTCACAAAGACACGCGGCTGTAGTTCGGCTACGATCAACCTTAAATCATGATAGGTTTTTCGTTATATTTGTTCATCGAAGTGTTTGATGACTAATTATTAATACAAAAACATTGAAGGTGAAAAAAACCTTCGTTCTAGACGTGTTCCAGCATGGACACTCCAAAACTCGCTACTAGTGCTTTTTTAAAAACAGATACAAAACCTTGAACAAATCATCTAACGGCCCAATATCATAAATTTATGTCAGGTTTATTCCCTGCACGGAGCACGCAACAAACGACGCCTTTTTTTCCGAGGAAACATTCGAGGTAAACAGAATTTTGCGTTGTTATTAATTGTCAATGAGGTAAACCGTATCTAAAATAAAACATTTATCAAGGGCTATTGACAGACAAAACACTGTCAACGCATTTTTGTATGACATTCATCAAATAATAAAGTTTGCTCGCATACAAAACGTGTGATCCTAAACAGTCATAGCACACTATCTTCGCATGTAAAACCATTAGTAAAGAAGTGTAAAAGCAATACTTAAGATCCAAAATAACTTTTCCCGAAATTAATTATAATTAAGGATAAAAATTATAAACGAAATCCAGAGACAAGGTTGTAAGTTCAAGGAACACGCGCAGCCATCAGTACCAAGACTAAACATTGCTGCCTTCAGTAGCTATTTCATTTGCGATTCGATCCATTTTGATTTGAACATGTGCATCTGTCTTGTTGGGGTACGGACTTCATCGTTTCTTCGATGTGATTTCCACAACCTAAAAATCATTTATTGACAAAATTTTACCAGCCCAGGTTTTCTTTCCACACTTCTTGCAAGTCACAACGAAACACATTTAAATAAACAACCAAAAATATGAAAATAACAGAGTCTAGCGAAATCACTAGACGAATTTCAAAACGGCGCTGTTAAGGACAAATGGTAATTGCCATTCAAGACAACGTTAAACAATACCCCTCGAATTTCAGAGAGAAGGACTGCCTTAAAAGAGACACCACGAACCTAGAAGAACAAAAATCTAAAAAGAAGCGTAAACGAATATTTCTAGATATTCAACGATAGCAAATAGCTGCTTGCAAAAAGAGATGACTCGAAAATTAATAGGCATCTTGGATATAGTCATAATAATAAGAAGTAAAATGCAGTCTTAAATGATTTAAAAAATGAATCATTTTTCGTTTTGCAATATAACGGTTGAAAAGCACTCTCTTATTCACGCGCTTCACAATCGTTGACACAAAAATTCGATTAATAAAATCTTCGCAAATTCGAAATGAAAAATGGCCACATTTGGAAAAAAACAAAGAGTAATAGCGAAGTTTATGTAACTTTTCGACATTTCAACGAATTACAAAAATTTTGCATAATTTATGGCATCTGGCTCATTCAAAAGCAGCACAAATTTACCAAATTATTTTCACCGGTTTCTTTGTATTTGGAAGCAAGCTTAAAAACTATTTATTTAATCAGAGAATTTATGTTGACATATTGTTTTCCATTAACAATCAAGACGTTTTGTACTGAATTTAATTAGCATTCACAACATACTGGATGCATGAATTAATTAATTATTTACCCATCCGTAAAATTACGTATAAATTATGACATATGCACCCTAAAAAACTTCTGATAGTTTCTAACGTTAGGTTTGTGTATAAAAAAATTTTATTCAAACGTAGTCTTTCCATTAAGCATTTTGTCTTCCGCTTCCAATTCATAGCTGGACTAAGAGATCCACGGACGCTAATAGATTTTCGAGTAGCACAATATTCGCTAATATCCGTCTGCTATTGTGAATAAATTTCTTTTCGGTTATTTTAAGATGAATTTGCTGGGTTTTCATGATGATACAGATTAACGTGATGCCATTGAATTTCCCAAAAAAGCTAACGAAATGTAATAAAAGTAAGTCTCTTCAAGAAGCTTTTACTAGACCAAAAAATTAAATTGTGTTTTGTAAAAGAGGAAATTTGACCTTTATAATTTGTTCATCACACGATTAAATAAAATTTGCCTATAATCGCTAAAAAAAAATTTATTTGGACTACCCATATCAGTGATTTCATTGAAATGAAGCGCTAAAGCCTTCTAAATTTTGAAAGTAAAATGTAAAAAATGCTACCTTTTTCCTATTAATCGAAATCTGAACATTTAATACATCAAGCTTTGTAAGTATTAGTTTTTTTTTGCTTGTCAAAAAGCATGTTTATGACATATTTCGACACCATATATTTTTGAACACTTTGATAATAATAATAATAACCCAAATATTCTTGTAATTAATATGTTAATATTCTTGAATTAATTTTTGGCTTGCTTTTTAAATGCGAAATTTGGAATACTTTTATGTAAACGTTTTGGAAACCTGCAATTTTCTTTTAACTCTCTCTTTTACTCGGTCACGATTCAGAATACGCGCGTCGCGGTGTGGTTTTGTCTTGGTGTTTGAATCTTCGGCAATGGATGAAACTAACGAGGAGGTTGAAGTCCTTATTGCTGACAATCCTTTTGCAAATATGACGTTTGATGAAAAGCTGAATTATGTTTCTGTCATTGCAAAGCCAATGGCGTCGGAAAAGCTTACTAAACGCCTTGGCAAGCTCATGAAGAAGGCCAAACGCGTTAGGATGATTTCTTGCGGAGTTAAAGATGTTGTGAAACAAATTGTGAAAAAGAACTCGCCTGGTATTTTGGTGATTGCGGGTGATGTAAGCCCTATTGACACAGTCACGCATATCCCTTTGATATGTGAATCCCACAACATCCCCTACTGTTACGTTCCATCACGCTTTGATCTGGGCTCAAGCTTTTCGTCGAACTTAAATTCTCTCTGTGTATTTATTAAACCCCACGAGGAATACGAAGCTTTGTACAGTAAGTGTCACGATGCTGTCGATAGTCTGCCATTACCCATACATTAACTCTTTGTAATATTATACCACACCGTTCAAACATTTACCTGTCTTTTTGCTAGCGTATGTAAATACGGGACGATTATCACATAAAGGTTCTGTTTAAGGTTCATTGATTTGATGGGCGGATATCTGCCAATGCACAATGAAGGCAATTCTTAGTGATAAGTCTTGTTAGTCAGTAGAAATTGATTAAAGCAAAAGTAAAGTACAAGTACGAAGTTAACCGGGTGTCATTTGCCAGGAGATTCCAGGCCGCCAAGGAGTTCACGCTCCGTGTCATCGTCGATGACGACTGTGCTGTCAAGGTCGCCACCATGAAGCATTAGCTCCGCCTCTAATTCGTCGATGTTGGTGCCTACAGGATGAAAATAGCAATGTTCGTGTCATGTGTCAACGCATCAGAGCCCAACGGCTGCTCTCCCAATATACTTAGTGAATTTCTCATGTTCGTCACTGACAGCGATGGAAATACACTCAAATATTTCGTCAAGGATACTTTAAGAAATTATGACAATTTGGCCGGCGAAAATTAACTGACCCGAGGAAAGACTTGATGTGGTGGTCGGGGAAAGGGATGGTGGGCGCGATTTTCGTTCTTCTTTTACCGACGACGGGGAACTTTGTTCGCGAGGGTGATCAGCCATATCGCCACCAAGGCTTTCAATGTCTAGAGTGAAACGTGAATTGAAAGAAACGCAGAATAGTTACTATCGTCTTCCATCGACTTTACTGACGTCTCTTTTTGAGGTCCAGTCGTGGCTTCCTCGGTCAGGTTTTCATTCTGTTGAACAAGCGAAATCCGGTAGAAGTAGTTGCGCCAAAAATCGTCCTCCTTCAGCCTACAGGGGAATTCGCTACGTGAATATTGTTTTACTTAAAGCTGCTAGTAGACGTGGCTGCAAAATGAGACCATAATGGGGCAGTACTACCAGGTGTCTCCACCACTTGCGCATATTGCCAGGTTAAGCTGAAAGGCGAAATACTTAGCAAACTATTTACGCTCATTCCGCTTCCCTCACACCCATAGATCCTGCAAACCTCTTCAAAACCTTCCTGGCTTAGATGATCTTCTATCCGAAAGCGCAGTTAGACAGGAAATTTACGATCTAATTTCAGCCTCTAGGGTGCCAATGCAGGAGGTTACGCCTGTACCGACTGTCACGCACAGTCACAGGCACCACGCCACATGAACAACATGAATGAAAAAATGTGCGTGGGTCGCTGGGAAACGTTGTCGTTGATTGACGCAGCGCTACATCTTTTTTTCGAAAAAAAAATCCTTGAAAACATGCGAATTCGCGCAAGAACCTATTGTCAGCTACTTCGTTTAAATGCCATCTACGTTTTGACAAATTGTAAACTTCGAGCACACGCTTAATCCACCAAAAAAAACACACCGTCGCGGTACCAGACGGAAGCGCATAGCCGCAAGGTTAGCATCCTCCTTCAGCAGGGCCATTGCGATGGGCATCGCCTGGTCGGCGCGCTCCTGACTCCACTGAAACGCCGAGTTGAGAGGCGGAGGTCGGAGGAAATTTTGCTCGTCCAACGACAGGTGCATCACCTGCTCCTTGATGCGACGGATGCGACCCGGGTCCGAGGCATCTGTCGACTTGTTCGATAGAAAGGCTTCAGGTGTGGCTGACGCCGCAGTCTCCGTCTTGGCAGCTACGAACTCCGATTGGATGCGCTTGAACTCTGCAAATGGCGCGGAGGTGGTTATCTGAAAGGAGAAAAAATGCCTTAAAATTCCCAACAAATGAAAATGTTGAGTCCGTGGGAATGAGTAAAAAGCTATTTCATTTTCCCAAGATTAACTGCGTAGGGAAGGGGCTGCCCATCATAAGGAATGAGAAAACAAGAAAAACGTCGCTCAATGGGATCGCAGTCTCGAAAAGCATGATGTGGGCCCCAGCATGTGGTCTTGAACCACGCCAGGGCCACGGAATTCACCCTAGCCAAATTACGCTTCCCTGATACCCGCGATGAGGAAAAAGACCAGAGGGGACGTGGGCACAAGCATTTACTTCAGAGGTCAATCACGTTGGTGCCGTTGTGTCATGTGTGGAGTTCGCGCGTGTGTATTTATACCTTGGATGTGTGAGTCGTACACGCACTAACATCGAGACCTACGTGTGGGGGTACTTCAGGATAAATATTCGTGCTAATGAAGTGGGAGTTGAGTATTCGTGCGGCTGGCAACACGCTGAGAAAAGGGGACCCTGAGTAGGAGGTGGAGCGACCGGATTAAGGGGTTGAATAAACACGGTTCACAACAGCTCTCCCCCTTAGCTACACTAAGCAGGATTGACGATAGTGCAGGCCGAAAAGCATGGTAGTTACAGGCGTGTGTGTTAGGGAAGAAGCAATAGAATACTGTGCGGTTTTTTGACGGCAAAGCCAGTCTCGAAGCTGCAAAAGAAACCCCTCAAAGCAGATGTGGTTAAAATCCAACTATAGCCGCAAGCAGTTTAGATCAATTGTCAGACGAACTGGGGTCAGTCAAATTGAGCCGGTGGATGCAAACTTGTAAAGCTCTCCTAAAGCCCAATTACACTACTAACTCGAACCAAATTCGTCCAGAAATCTCGAGGCGATCGTGAAGGGAATGCCAATTCCACCGGAATAAGGGGTTGAATAAACAGGATTCACGACAAACAGTTACACAAAACGCACAGGAGACCAACGGCAATGAATGTGGTCGAAGAGAACTATATTGAGTGAGAATTTGGCTAATTACACCTTACAAGCCATAATTTAAGTAAAATGGTCAAAATGACGCAAATTCTGGCAAGCGCTGTTTACTGAACCACAGAATGAAAATCAAGCGCAGCAGTTTACATCGATCATGGTTGATGAGAATATTTTTCTACCATTTAATGGCAACTACACAAGGTTCTCTTCAGCTAAAAGGTATTCATTCCAGTTAATATTGAGAAAAAAAGCTCACGAAAAATCGCGATTTCAGATTTAGGAGTTGAGAAATGTGGAGCCATTTTAGTGGCAATCGTAACGAGGGTGACGACCTACATAGTTATGCCAAAAATGAAATTAACATTTTACACACATTTTCGAAAATTACATTGTATAAAGATTAATAAGAAACATTGTGGTTCATACTTCGAATTTAAATCAAAAGACTACTTAGGTTAATCGAATGTAATTTACAGACAAAAATGTCAGGGCCTATAAGAATGGTCTAAACGATATTTTGCTAAAATATCGTAACAGAGGAAGTCTTAATCCCGTAGAAAAATGCCAAAAATCTTTGAAATAATACAAGCCCTCTGTATAAAATCAAATTAGTGAGTAAAAATACAGAGATCGAAAAACAAAATGCTGAAAAAGCATTTCCCGTTTAGAATAGGTTGACACATTTGCCATAAACAAATTTGCGTTTCAGCAATAAAAGCTTTCATCATGTTTTCAAAAGAAAGCGTTTGTATTAAAAAATAGCGGTAAATACAGAAATCTAGCATCAGGTTTTAGGACAAAGTGATTAAGTCGGATGACTGACACCAGTTGCTGAAATAAAAAGCACCCAAAACACGAAAAGAAGTGCGTACGTACTGCTTTAGAAAGTTGCTTAGCCGAGTTCTTTAGCTCTCCGGCAATTTTAGATGACGACTTCATTATAACGTCTGCCAAGAATAATTTTAAATTAAGAATTCATTACCTCTTATTCCACCAAGACTAGGAATATTAACTTCATAGACATCATCATCCTTTGACGAAATTTGAGTCGAAAGTCGGGAAGCATTTCCTTCCTGTGACTCCGAACTACTCCGATTCCAAGAAGAGGGGAAAAACGTACCCCACAGCGACATTGCACAACGACCAAAACTGGCGTAGTATTGAGCGACCTTTAATTACCAATTTTCAACAAAATAAATTACACCGTAGGCCCGAATTCATGTTATTTAGGAGCACGATTTCTAAAAATTAATTTATTTTTAAGAAAGGCATGCCAGTTAAATATATACATGCATGTTTTGTACGATCTACTTGCGTTCTTGATACAGGCTTCTAAATTAATGCTTAAAGGTGACAAAAAGATTATGCGAATCAAGTATGGGATTAAAACAAGAAGCAGAATATACGGACCACGGAAAAAACAAGAATACAAACTTTGTTTGAATTACAACTGTTTCACGACACTGTCCAAATCCCCTCAAGCCGATTTAAGCTTCTTTCAATACCGAAAATAAGAATTGATATAAGTTGAAAACATTCCGGGCGATATGTCCTTAATTCAAATCATTTAGCAAAAGTAATGTGATCGATGTCGAAATTTTAAACATTGTGAATATTACTGAAACCTTCGTTTTTTAATGTCTTAATAAGAAATTTTCATTTTTGTCTTTTGGTTGTGCAGATTTTAATTAATGTTACCAGGAAAGCCTTAAAAAAATTCAAGGTAAAAATGTATGTTTTGAAAAAGGACAAAGTATAGATTTTTGTTAGCATATTTTAATGTATTGATTTAGATAGCGCAGCATTTGAAAAACGCAAGACCCGGCACTTTTGCGTCTTGTGCAATAGCAGTTTTTCTTTTTTCGTCTTTCCTACGTATGACAAATGCTAGCTTGTAGTACGTTAAATAATTCTTCGCGGAAGCAGCAAATTGAGTCTTGGGAATCTTCTGATACAAATAAGGAGGTTGTAATGCCTCGTCCTGCTGAACGGGTTAAGTTTCCCATCGATGTTCAATTCCACGCGGCCTGTAGCAACTCAGAATTGGACGAGGTGAAAGATCTTCTATCAAAAGGTGTTGACATTAACGTTGCCAATGCTGATGGACTAACTGTTCTTCATCAGGTATATCGTGCAATTTGTTGAATTTTATTAATTACTCTAGGCATGCATCGATAATAACTACGAAGTTGCCCAATTTTTACTATCAAATGGCGCAAACGTAAATGTCCAGGACAATGAGGGGTGGACACCGCTGCATGCATGTGCATCCTGCTCCTACACTGAATTAGCAAAGTGAGTTTTAATTCAATCTTTTCAAATTTCCTTGTTTGTGTCTAAAAGATTCTCTATTCCGTTGTCTGTTTTTTTTGTTTTGGGAATTCTAAAAATCATCACATTTGCTTGATTGCTAATGCGTAGTTTGGACTGATCGAGTTATACTTAAATTGCCTTGCTAGTTAAATCATTTCTGGAATTGTTGCACCTACATAACTTTATATCATTTTTTAAGTACTCGTCAGTGTGTATACATGAAATCGATGTTCTATTTCCATCGTGATTTTTTTCATCTTTTGCTCAAATCTATATAATTTCTGACTCAGCTTTTCTCATTCTTAGCCTTTTTCCCCTTTCGGTCGCTTTTCTGTCATGACTGTTTTCATTCTGTTTTCTTTTTAAATGAATGACTGTCATTTCTAGTTTTATTCGGACAGAGATGAGTGCACCAAATGTGACGTCATTTAATGTGTTTACCATTAGTCATTTTCGTCCTCTTCCATTATTCCAATCAATTTAAACCGTTATCCTGCTTTATTTCCGTCTAATATTTGAAATAACTTCCCTCTTCTAGCTAACAATGCTTTTCTCTTTTGGTGTTTCTCATGGCGGCCCATTAGGTTTTTATTGCTGAGAGGGTTTTCTATTAATGTTCTATTTATTCACCAACATTGTGCATGGTTGATCTAGTAATTGTTCTCTGGTAAACCACACTTTTTTCTATAATTCATCCTTCATCTATTCTTTTTTCGCCTGACCGTTTCAGCTCTCTTTCCAAGTCATGTTTGACACCTATTAGAGCCGTCTCTATACCTTATGCGAAGGGAACAAGTTTGAGTGTTAAAATGGCCTGATACGCCCTTCAGTGAGTTGCCACGCGCTCATCAATCCGAGGCCATAACGTCCTATGAAGAACAGTCACTTCGTAGCATGCGGCGTTGACGTCATCGCGTTAAGTGTGAATGTGTGGTGCTTTGTCAAGTCCTTACTATTGACCTCGTTCCGCTATTTCTTATACGTTTTCTGGCAAACGAGGCTTAATTACGTATTCTAACCTGGATTAGTCCTTACTCCACGTTCTCCGATACTCGGATGGACATTTGTAGAGAAATTCACATGCTCCATGTTCCATGTTATCAAGCATGCAATCACACGGCCAATCGCAACTGTTCGATTATCATGTAGGAATTTGCCGATCACTGCGGGGTTTCGTTTAATTGACACTAGAAGACTCAATGGGAGCGTATGAGTCTACCTAACTTCCATCAACAACAGTAACCGCTTCATTAACCTCCTAGTGTTCTGTATTCCCTGTGGAGCTGGGTAAATTAGTCACTAAAACATGTGCGCAAATATTTGTTGCCGCCGCTTACGCACACAACAATGCAGAAAGCGTCTTTATAAAAGAAACACACGTTTATTGTTAGTAATGCATGCGTTTGATGGGGCTTGTGGGGCAAAATCAAGCCTGTCTATTGGAATGTTCCGCTTTGTTCTATTGCCTTACTGCACCGTCATTCCTGTGTACTTTGTGAAGCGACCTCATCTTTCAAACGTCTTCTTCATTGGACCTGTGGCTTTTGGAACTCCAGTTTTCGAATCTATCTGCCTACCCTTCACGTCTTCCGGTTTGTCGCTCTCTCTGGTGCTTCCAGCCTATCGATTTGGTACTATTGGAAAATAATTTGACTTACCTACCTGCCAATCGCCTCCACTGTGACCTTTCGACTGTACCATATTCGCCAAATCCTCTCACACGTCACGTGAAAATTGTTCTGTGGCGTAATTCCATTCAGTCTAAGTTTCCTTCCTGCCTGAACATCCAGGAACCTCATATGACCCCGGCGGGTAGATACCTCTACACCCAGGTGCTCCGCAAATTAGCTGCTATTTAGGAGTGTGTGGCACGAGCGTTAGTACAGGGTTGCGGAACTTAGATACGTGTAATCGACACCGCGGATGCTGGCTGCAATGCATCCATGTTAAAAGAAGCCACAGGTTTCGGCGCACTGCGCAAGTTCTTTTCCACGCCGAATAGCCGCCCTTCTCGACACAAAGGATTCACCAATTTCTCATGTTAGTCGTCAGTAAAAGATGGTTGTGATGTGAGGCTTGGTTGCCTACTTAACTGCCCTTGTGTCCCCGCTGTCTGTCACCAGTTTGGTTCCGAATTTTCGGTGATGTTCCGCTGTCATAGTTGCCACAATCAGGTACTGTCTCCTCACCCACTTTGAGGTCACTCTCTCATAATTGAAGTGTCCACTGCTTGCCCTTTGTCTGCTTTTACTAAACCCTTCACGTTGGTGTCGGAATTCCATGATTCTGCGGCCCTTCGGCTTCCTTATAGCCAGTTCTCTTGACTTAAGAGATTCGTTTGGAGGTCCGCCTATGTGACTAAAGAATTGTCTGTCGCAATCCACAGATGGGGAGTAATGATATTGAGCCTGACTAAATGTATCATCACAGTAAGACGCTGTTGATCGCGTGTTAGTGCGGGCGCCATGTACGCGTAAACAGAACGTCACTACCACTTAGCACACAACGCATGAAGTCCCTTCTTGAGTAGAAGGTTGCAGCGCGTCAGTGTGTAACTGCGTAAATTCTCGTTTCTCACACAGCACGGGCCTCTGATCTCCCAATTCCTGCACTGGTTGGTTTTATAACTGACACTGCGCGTCTCAGATTTCATTCGAAACCTCCCGTCCTAGTTTATGCTTCTCCACAAAACCGCCTTTTTCCCACACACAACTGGGCTCCCGTCTTATTTGAGTCCTGGTATCAGCGTGTGGTCATTTCACCACAGCTTCGTTTCCCACTGAAATGCCCGTTTTGTGAAATTTTCGCTTTGATCTTTCGTTGGCTTGTAATGCGATAACTTCTCATGCCGTCGTCTCGTGTTATGGCGGTGCGGTTGTGGGCATGTGTAGCGTTTCGCGAAAACCTCCACCGTTTGCTCCGACAATTTTTCACTTGTTTATATCAACAACTATCGATTCTTCGTGTTATCGGATCGCTTACATTCCAAGATTCTGTGTTTGTTGGTATCAGGGCTATTCACTTACAAACTGATCTCCACTGCCAGGTCGTTTGCCGATGCGTTTGCGGACTTTGAAAAGATCGTTCACCTGAAGCGCTCAAATTCATACCAGACGCCAAATTGACACCACCCCACTTGAACTCACCTGGAACACTGCACTTCCAGTGAATGTCAGTCGTGTTCAGTGGACCGCGTCGTGGTGCCAGGCACAGAGGATTGTCAGGTTGATCTTCGTCACCTGCCGATTGATTCTGGCGTGGGAAAACTTATCCATCTAGATTACTGCAGGCACAATTGTAGACCTGGTCATTAGTGGTGCCGTTGCTGCTTCTTTGGTGGAATTTTCAGTCGTGGTGTTCATCCAAATCCTGCAATGCCTCCTCAAGAAGCCTGTGGGTAGTTGTGCCAAGCAGAAAAAGTGTGTGTTTTTTTAAATGTGACCAATCACATTGTGCGGGTCAAGGTTCACTTGCACGTCGTACCGACATCCTTCGTGGGTGTTTGTTCGCTTGGGGGACCACCACTCACTCGGAAGTCCTTCTGATCTCCTTGTTGACTCATTCACGAGTTTGCTCTGTTTGGTGTGAAAGCGACTTAACACCGCTGCGCCCTTAGTTGCCCGATTTCTCGCCAGCCAATCAGGAGCGAGAAACCCTCTTGTGCCCTCGTGTCACACCCACCATCGAGTCGGACACCTTCACGACCGAATTCACTCCCAACTTACTTGTTTTCGTCTTGTCGCCTCCCGGTAGCCACTAACTTTGCTCCATTAGACGCTAATTTGAATGACCCTCCCCCCCTCCACACAAAATTGTTAAGCTCTCCCTGCTTCTGTGTGCGGCGTCGTTGTTGTGCCGTCCCTCTCCCCCCTACCAGCCTTCCTTCTCGCTTTCTCTCACTCTCTCTCTCTCTCTGTGTGTAAGTGTTTATCGATTCGAGGCGTGCTGTACACTGCAGACACCTACACAGACACGCAAGCACGTTCACGGTTGCCACATCGTTGCTTGCGCAGGTGCGCACGTGGCTGCACTGCGTCGACCAATCAGCGAGGCGCGCGCCCCTGCGCCCCGCATCGATTCGAATGTGCGTGCATGCGTGCGTGCGTGTTCGCGTCCAGAAATAGGCAGCATCCAAAAGAGGCGCCTAATTGATGCACGGTGTGTGTGTGCACTTTTGGGCCTGTTTGGGTTGGCTGCACTTTTCCTGATAACTTAAAAAGTGCGCCATTTTCCAAGCAGTAAAACAATGATGCTGACTTCTATCACAGACAGTGTAAACCTCGTGGATTTCGGCAAGCCAAACATCAGTCATTGTCTATTGCCGTTGACCTGCGTAGATTAAGAGTTTCCCGCTGCTAACTGGACCACCAATGAATCAATTTGCATTCGAATAGTGTTAAATCACATCCAATAACTCCCAGTTGACGCATTTTTCGCAATCCTCATCCCATTTTCACGCCGTTCTTATCAGTCATGCAAAACCGCCCGCCCACACATTCCGCCACTCTGACCGTTGAGCCGTCAAGTAAAGTGGCGTGGCAATGCCATCTCTGGTCTGGTCTTTTGTCTGAGCGGTGAAAACGGGCTGGTTGACTGCTGACTTGATTGTAACCTTCTCGTGTGTGTATGTGTGCGTGTAGACTGCTCCTGGACAAGGGCGCAGACGCCAGCATCGTGAGCTTCGAACTGGAGCTGCCGCTGGACGTGGCACAGGGTGCCGACATGGTCTCCCTCCTCAAAGACTGGATGCAGAACCACTCGATCGATGAGAAGGCTGCGCGCAGCGCCGAGGAGCAACTGATGCTGCGGGACGCTCGTGAATGGCTTGCCTCCGGCGATTACCCGTACGTCTTGTTGCTCTTGAATCTGAATCTTTTTGGGCGTTACTCCTTTACTGGCACTGGTCAAACCGAGATTTGATCGATTTTAAAGCGCACAGTTCGTATAACTCCGCTGTCACGTGTGTTAAGCGCGCCGCTGGATTAATTCGCGTCTCAAATTACCTTCTCACGGCCTGTGAAAATCGTGTGTGCTTTGGCTGCGAGCGTGAGTAAATCAGCGCAGTGCGTTTACGACTGACTGCACTCGGTGTTAGGGGCTGCGTTCTGATTGGTCACTCTCGCTCTCTCTCAATCCTGTAGGAATGTGGTAGACCCACGAACGGGCGCGACCGCGTTGCACATTGCGGCGGCAAAGGGCTATTCCGAGGTGCTGGAGTTGCTTCTGAAGTTGCCCGACGTGGAGGTGGATGCCACCGACGTCGACGGCTGGACACCGCTGCACGCCGCGGCCCACTGGGCCAAGGAGAAACCCCTTCGCCTATTGGCTGCCGCGGGAGCGTCTTTTGACGCCATCACACTCACGGTAAGCCACCGCAGCCCTTCCCCCCCCTCGACGTCTTCTTAGTTTTTGGCAACACCCTCTCCTCTTCCTTGTAGAATCAGTCGATTTACGACGTCGCCGACCGCAGCATAACCATGCTCCTGAGGCAGCTGCGTGAAGCACACCGAAACGTACGTCAAGTGCATACACTCTCCCTTTTTTGCACAAATTTGCCGTCTAACGTAGTTTTTTTTCTCTGCCTGCGCTTAGGATCAACAACGCGCAGCAGACGAGAAGTCCTCCACGGTCGCGACGCGCGGAAAGTAAGTGCCAAGCTTACCTCAGGCCGAATGCACTCGAGCATTCGAAAACGCCAATTAATTGCGTAATTGTGAGAGATGCGTGCACGCTATTGGCTGTCACGATGCGGCTGCACGTGTGTAAACACGTCACCTGACTTATCGACCCGTCGTGTTTCAAGTCGTCCCGACGCCACTTTCACAATTCCCCGTCGCCGCTTAACCCCACCAACCCTCACGTTCGCCGCCCGCAAGCGTTTGATAATGCGATGACTCGGTGTGTGTGGGTGTGTGTGTGTGAGAGGTGTCACTTGCATAATTTACCTAGTCCATGTGCTCTAATCACCGCTAACCAGAGACCTTGCACCTGAGTTGAGTAATCCTCTGCGGTGGCCGTATCAGCGTGTGTGTGTGTGTGTGGCTTGTGGATTACCAGTCGACGACAGCCCTGACTGTGATCCTTCTTCCTCTTCCGCTTTTCCTTCAGGCCTGACGAGGAAGAACGTCCAGAAATGACAAAAGAAGAAGCTGGAGGCGGAGGTGAAGGAGAAGATGAAAACGCCACCCCCGCAGCTCCGAAGTTGGCGAAGATGGAGGAGAAGGCGGAGGAGGCGGTGGAGGAAGCCACTAGAAAGGAGCTGCCCCGAGCAGCGAAGGAAAAGCCAGAGGGTGGTAGACCGCACACCCCTCCCAAACCCTCTTCCCCACCGCCTGCCATAAAAGGTAACACTTGTTTGCGTACGTCGTCTTGTTGACTCGTTGAGCGTGCTTTGTGAACCCGTCAAGTCTATTTGCTCGCTTCCCTGTCGTAATGAGGGCGTGGTTACACGGTGTAAACGATCGCGAAAGCACTTGAGGACCAGTTGTGTCTGTGGGGTGTGCGCTTGCGTGTGTGTGTGTGTAAAACCCTCGTATCTTGTAGTGATTATGTTTTTTCAAGGCCCTCTCTCTCTCGTCGCTTTTAGCAGAAGACGAGCGCGAAGATGAGGAGGAGGAGGAAGATGAGGTAGAGGAAACAGCGGTTAAGCCGGAGTCAGAGGAACCCACAGTCTCGACGGATCTTCCGGAGAAGGCGAAGGAGGTGGAGAAGGAAGAGACGGTGAAGCCAATGGAAGCCTCAAAGAAGCCCGAACGAGAATCACCCCCTCCACGGCAAACCCCCACAAAACCAGCCGAATTGTCCCCCGCCCGGTCACCGCCACCTCCCTCACCACCCCCTGCGTCAGTTACCTCACCGTCGCCCACCTCATCGATCGCTGCGGCTCCAGGCAAACCGGAGCAGGTGTCAGATCACAGCTCTGCGCCACCATCACCACCTCTAGCAGCCAATCCTGAGAACACAGCCACCGCCGTGGACACATCCACCACACCCGCGTCCGCCCCTAGCCGCAGGTGAGCACTCCAGTCCTCCTCGTTTATCAGTCGAAAACGTCAAATGTCAATGCTCAAATTATTATTATTATCTGGTTTAATTCCCAGCCCACGCCATCACCGGAAAGACTCGACAAAAATCAAACGGTATACCCCGCTGCTGCCACCTGTGCTTTGCCCTCTCACCGCGCCACCCTGCCTCCCTTAACGCCAATCAGCTAGCTGTGTGTGTGTGTGCAATTTTGAGTACCCGTGTGCTCGTATGTGTGTGTGTGTGTGGTTTTCTAAGTACGAGATCCTACCGCAGTCGTGTCAACAGTTCCGAGTGCTCGCCGACAACCTGAGGTTGTGCTGGAGGCGTCGACACCATCGTCTTCTGGCGCACAATACGAGGTGTAATGTTGTTGTCACAGCTTTACCGCCTGCTTTGTGGTCTGGGCCCTTGCTTTCACGCCTTCTAGTCAATAGGAAACCCTCAATTTTCTCACAAAACGCTCCAATTCACTCCCACCACCGCCACCACCACCACCCCGACTTTTGCGCTGATTTCTTTTCGTTTGTTTTCTTGTCAGAATCTCGGCTGTGCTGGCGCCGGCGCGGTCAGAGGAGACGGAGGCGCAGCGCAGCAGCAAGGCGCGGCTGGTGCGATCGACGCGTCGCTCCACACAGGGCATCTCCACGGACGTCCTCGAGGAGGCCCGACGCCTCAGCGCGGGCGTCGGCGCGGCCACCAGCGCCTCCACGCCCAACGCACCCAGCCCGACCCCCGCGCCGGTTCAGGTGAGTCCCGCTGGAGAGGGCTTTGTGGTTCCACGCCGTGGTCACTTGCTGTCGGTGCGACTGTCGTTGACAAGCTCACATCCCCCTCTCACTCCTCCAATCCCTCATGTCATCGACTTCCCTTTCTGTGTTGATTTGCGCTCGATGGGTCACCGGCCGCTGTCATTGGATGCTTCCACTCACCCCCCGGCCGTTCTGACCCTTTTTTTGTTGCCTGGTACAAAAAGGGGCTCATTAAATCGTCCAATCACTGCAGGCCTGGTGGTGGTGTCTAGACCAATCCTGCCTTCTGGAACGTCAACCTGGCTTGCGAGCGTCCTCGTTTTAATTGGTCTGACGTGGAGGGTGGTAGAGCCGTGTGATTGGTCGATTATTTGTTTTGAATGCTTGCGGTTTCAGCCTCTTGTCTTCGGTTAACCGACAGAAGATTAAGGCTCTCTCGCACCTCTTAGAATGACGCTAAACCGAAATCGGTCACAGTTCTTGGCGTTTTCCATGTCTTGATTGGCTCAGTTTGTGTGTGTGTGTGTGAGACAGAGTTTGACACACGAATTCCCCCTCAAAATTGGTGTTTTCTTCCAGCCAAAAGACATTGAAATTGAGAGTCCACTTACATCGTCATTTATCGCGGTAAGTTGACTGCATGGGGTGGTGGGAGAGGCAGCAGCTGTGCGTAGTGACTCTGTGTGTTAGCCCGTACGTAGCGGTAGTTGGGCCTCTTTTCACTCCACCAATCACAGGCTCGTCCCCTGGACGGTCAGCTCAGTTAAACAAGGAGTTCGCGTCAAGGTCATGTCAGTCGCAGTCGCTGACTCATTCAACACATGGATATCACATTCCCGGGATGGCATTCATTGGGATTGCAGACGTGTCTAGACTGGTAGTGTGTGTGTGTGGTAGAGGTTGCATGCTCCCCCACCCCCTCTCCCCCATCCTGACTGGCTTCGTGCCTGGGTTGCTAACATCTCATTGGTCAAATCGGGTGTATTAGGGTGTGTGCGTGCCTTTTTTTGTCAATGCTCGCTCCCCCCCCCTTTACCAGTCGAAAGGACTGGAGCTCGCTCGTGACCTTGCAGCTGTGCGGTGATTGGTGGACGACCAGCCAATCACTGCTGCCGGTGCATTCTAGTTTGTCTGAATTGTACACCTTTTTTTGACCACAGACGCCGCCAACACGCACCTTTACGTCAAAGTTTACTCTGGGCCGGCTTACTCAACAACCCAATCACTGGCTCACCTTCGAATCGGTGAGGAGATGTGCCTTTCCACTTGTAATTCACACGCTCGCACGTGCACACGACGTGCGTTTCCCACCGCAACTCACGTTTGTGCGTGGCACATCAAATTCACATGTGCGTGCTGTGTACTGCTTTTTTCGTGTGTGTGTGTGCTTGTGCCACAGGTGGCTCGTGCACCCGCGGAAACCTCCGATGTTGAAAGTCAAAGTTTGTTTCCTGGGGAATCTTATTGTCCCGATGTGGTCAGGCCTGCCACCGCGGTTGACACTACTACTGTGTATTATTAAGTAGGCACTATTTTAAAGTCGATGGCAGGAGTACAGGTTGTGGGGTGTTGCGCATTTCTGCCAATACCGGCGTAAGATCTTTCAAAACGCCTGAGATTTGACATCAGTAGTGCCAGGTTTACATCAATAACTCCTTTCAGACACCCGAAAAGGCTTCTCGCGGCGCCATTCCTCCCCCACCGACTAGTCCCAAACTATCGATTACCGTTCAGACGTCTGTTCGCCCGCTGGTAGGTTCTGGCATTCGTTCGTGCGCATGCGTGTGACTGGCAGTAAATCCACCCTATTTGTTCGAATCTCATACCAAGTTCTAGTCGACCCTGAGCCTGGAATAGACTTGCTACTTGTTTCATGTAAGTAGCATGTGTTTTTTTATCAGTCAAAGGCAGTCCGGGAGGCGGCTGGCGGATCTGATGTCGATGATGCGGAAGCAAAACCCGCTACCCACGTTTCCAAGGCGACCATACTCCCCACTCAACCGAGCTCCTCGTCTTCCACGGATACCACTAATTCAAGTAGGTCATTTGAGACTCATTTTTTAGTCGCGAGCACTTGGCGTCACGCACACACGCCTCCCACTTTTTCCCTGTCGCAGCAGCTGACTCGACTGCCTCCATCATCGCGCACTCGCGTGCACGTCGGGCGGCGCGCGACCGCGTTCCGACGGGCCGCCTGAACAGCAGCGACGTGCTTGCCGCGGCGAAGCAGCTCGAGCAGAACGCCAACTCGGCCACCGACGGCAACTCGGCCACCGACAGCAGCTCGGCCAGCACAATCCCCCGCGTGAGTTGCGAACCCCCCTCCCTCCCCCTGTCTGGTTGTCGCGCTAATTTAACCAAAAAAATAACCTCTTCAGCCCACAACCCGCCTCCTCCTTCGTTCGACGATCCTGAACACGACGCCCGCAAGCCCGGCCGCCGCCGCCACGGTAAACAACGGCGGCTGCGAGCACCAGCGGCCGTCTCCCGTGTCCCTCCAGTTCTCGCCGTCGCCCTCGGCCGGCACCGCGTCGTCTCGCAGTGCCCAACCCGCCGCCTCCGTGTCCTCCAAACCCGACCACCGATACAATTGGCGTGATGTGCGTCAGTTCTGCTAGATTTTTAAGCAAATCTCTTCACTACAAAAAACATGGATTATGACGTACTTAGTCTTGGCAATAGTGTCCATCGTTCTCCATAACCTTGCGCCGCCTCTCACGTTACGTACAAATGTTGTCGTCGAGGAAACTTATAGACTACGAGGTGATATTATCATCTTCGACGAAATTACACACATCGTGAAGCGTTTTAGGGGCTATACATCCACTTAGGCTTGCTCCTGCATTGACAGCAACTAACGGTAGTTTGATAGGACCAAGTCTGGTGAATATGCCACTTGTTGCAGTAGTTCAGGACGGTCTTCTGTGTCGCTAAGAGAGCAACGTGAGGTGGTCGAGCGTTGTCATGCAACATCAGCAGTACGACTTGTCAGCTTCCTTGCTCAGTAAATGTCCTTTTCTGATCAAGTTCATTGCTCGCTTTGTTCAGCTGTCTTGCAATTCCCCATCTTCAATCCTTTGATACTGCTATCCGGGGCGCGGTTGGTCCCTAAGATCGATATTACCACAGTCGAAGCATTTGTATCCATGCTTAGACGTCTTTCCTCCCTGCAGAATCTCGATTACCGCCGGTTGTACGAGGAGGAGCGCAGTGAGAAGGAGCGACTGAAGCGCACTCTGGACCAGGTGACGCGTGATGTCAACGCCCTGCGCAGTGAGCTAGCCCGTCTACACACGTCGCCCAATCACAGCGCGTCCTTGAACGCGCGAATCAGCGCGGGTGGCGGCGACCACTCGCTGCAGTCGCAACGCCGTCCTGTGGATTTCTTTGAGGACCAGGCCAAGGAGATCGACCGGCTGCGCCAGGAGAACGCGAGGATGGCGGACGAGAACAAGTCGTTGATTCGGGTGATTAGCAAACTCTCCGCAAGGACAACCTCCTGATGTCTGATTGGTGCGCGCTCGCGTGTGTGTGTGCATTTTAGAAACCCAGATATGTGCTTCCCCAGTTAAAATTATGACATAATATGTACATATGCGTAAGTATTAGCAGAACCCGGACAGTCGCAGCCAAATCAAGTGCCTCTCAGACCAATCTTTCATTCATCGCCTCCCTCCCCCCAACCCCTATCTACCCTCCCATTTCGCTGAAGATGATGACGATGCCAGGATGATGTGTTACTTTCTTTCACGTGTTTACTCTTGCTCTCTCTCTCTCTCTCTCTCTTTTGTAATAAAAGAAACTATCGCCCGCCTTCCTGCCTGCTTCCCGGTGCTCTCCGAAACGATCATACATTTAAAATGCTACTATCTATCATTAAGTAGCGTAGTTTTTTTTACAATTCACTATCGGGAGTAGGGGTTGTTTCGCAGGCCGGCGCCCGTGCGCTTGCGTCCACTCGTCCACGCAGTGCTGGCGTGAGGCTTTTTGGAGCCAGCCAGAAGCGCGGCAACCGCGGGATGGGGCTGCCGTCGGCGTCCCGCCTTCTCGCACCTGAGAATCGCCGGTTGCAGCGCGATCTCATCGCTGCTGCGCAGGGCAGCCTCGATGCGCCTCAGGGCCTGCATGCTCTGTGCACGACTCATCGCTAAAGCACATTCAAAAAAGGACTTGGTTATACCCAGGTTCGTTGACAGTGTATTTCTGGGATCGTGGAGGAGGTCTCGACTCAGGGACGCAACATGTTATCCTCTGGAATCGATAAAGAAACGAGCCCTAAGCCAATTTACTTGTATAAGCCCTCGACAAATCAGATCATGATATTGGTCCGTGACTTAGTGCGATGTCGAAATTCGGACCAGCCTTCAGTTTGGGTTAATATATCGGTGGTATTTTGACGTGTGACATGACAGCGTATTTCTGCATTTAACTAAACCTCTTTGCGACCGTGGAGGGGGTCTCAACTCAGAGACGCAACATGTCATGTTCTCGAATCGATAAAGACAAAGGCAAAGGACAATTTACTTGGATAAGCTCTCGACCAATCAGATCACGATATTGGGCCGTGAGTTGGTGCGATGTCAAAATTCGGACCGGCTTTCAGTTATGTTCTCGAATCGATAAAGACAAAGGCAAAGGACAATTTACTTGGATAAGCTCTCGACCAATCAGATCACGATATTGGGCCATGAGTTGGTGCTTTCAGTTTATGTCAATATGTCGGCGGTTTTTTGACATGTCACACAGAGCAAGTTGAAAAGGAGTTTACTTTTTGGCAACTAGAACTCACTGGGAGGCGGAGGTTGGGATGTCGATTTGGTGCTGGGCGCCGAGATCTGGCCAAGTTTGCCGTAGAGATCAGGCAAGGTGGGTTTGTGCGTGGCCGACGGGGCTTCGACTTTTCTACCCGAAATTGCAGGGGGTCGTGACGAAGAGCAGGAGAAAAAAAACAAGAGACAAGTGATTTCTGCTTCTTGAGTAAAGGCGTAGCAAAAAAGGCAATAATTCTACGCGAACAGCGACAACAAAGGGAAAGACACCTGGTCCGATTGTGAGAGTTTAAAAAAGCCTTTACTTGCTCAAAACTATGACACTTTGACAACGACTTCTAATATACTGAAATTATTCATTAATCAGTCGATTGCAGACAATCGAATTAAACAAGCTTCAGAAATCGATTGCCGGTATGGACAAGTCGAGCTGACCTACCCATCACCACTGCTGCTACCTCCAAATGTCACGAAGGTGGACGGAGAGGCTGAATTGAGGCGTCTGGCAAGTTCTTCCTCACGACGGCGAGTGTCCGCTTCGATGCGCTGTCGCTGCGCCGCCTTCCTTGCCTCCGTCCACTGCGCAACCTCGTCTCTGGTTGGTCGAGCGCGTTGAGCGGAGAGAACAGCCCCGCAAAACATGCGTCCGTTAAGGCTAAAAGTTCAGCGAATACAACGACATGAGCTTCAAATGAGTGGAGTGATTGCACTAAATACAATGAACAGGTTATTCGTAAAAACTATTCTAAGATTTAGTATTATAAGGGATAGAGAGTGCATCCGTATCTGCTACGCGAGTGCGACAATAAAATTACAAAAAGGTAGACTAAAACTCTTACTCGTCTAGGGCTCTTCGGGCTTCTTCCTCTGTAGAGAAGGTTACGAAGCAGTAACCAAGAGTAGAGCCCTGAAGTGGTCCCGCAGCCCGATGAACGGGAAAATTGAAATCAACAAGTTTTCCATACTGGCGAATCAGTTGAAGAACAGCAAACTCAGTGGATCTTGGTGGAAGATTTGCTAGCCAAACTCGGCGCGGATCGACAACTTCTGTTTCACAAACACCTTCATCCATAACTTACTGCCTGAAATAGATGGAACGGCTTTGTACTCAGTATATCCCAGGCTACTAAGCCGAAATTCAAGATTGCAACTTTCTTTAATTACACGTTTTTAATACAAAAGGAATTCTACAGAGAGTTAAAATTGAGCCTACCAAGCGAAACTTGACGGAGATAAAACAGTGTTATCGATTTAGGGAGAAGATTAATACATGAAAATGTGACAATAATATTTTATAAAATCAGAAGAGGTAAGGCTTATATACCGCGTAGACGGTATCACACAAATTTATGTGCAGGTACTTTTAGGGATCCACAAAGCGATAAAAGCTCGTCTGCAGCGGCGATTTTGTGGTGTGACGACGGATCAGGGCGCAGACATATTGGACCATCTGGTCTCAGCCAATCGTTTTTCTCTCGGAGTTCCAATGGCATGCGAGAAAGGTAAGCAGCCAACCAGAGAAGGACACGACTGAGGAGCAGTATAAAAGGAGTGGCGCGGCCAGCGTGGTGAACTCTGGTGGAAGGCGCCAGACGCGTGGCTTTGGCTTCTGATTGGATAATAAAGCCAGTTCTGCTGTATCGGTCTTATTCATTCTAGGGCTCGGGTATTCTACAATGGCGACGGATCAGGGCGCAGACATGTTAGACCACCTGCGAAGAAGGTAAGCAGCCAACCAGAGAAGGTCACGATTGAGGTGCTGTATATAATGAGTGGCGTGGCCAGCTTCGTGGACTCGGATGGAAGGCGCCTGACGTGTGGCTCTGGCTCGTAATTGGTCAATAAAGCCAGTTCCGCTGTACCGGTCTTTTTCCTATTAGGGCTCGGGTATTCTACAATTTCAGTAAGTGGAGACAATGGGCGCAGACATATTGTATTACCAAAACCGCAGCTAATCCGGCCTAGTTTTAAATGGTCAGAGAGGAATGTCAGTGATCAACCACAGATAAAAATGAATTGGAATAATGAATACAATCAATGGAGGAGTCAGTTTAGTTAGGTCAGATGATAAATTCTTGACGCACAGTTCTGGATTGTGATTTGTCAATACAGCCTGCTTCTTTGAACATGTCGTTGACCGGACAGTAGGGTTCATAGTGTGGTAATTATTTAAATAACTGCCTTAGTTCGTTAAATTCCAATTCTATGACTGTCTTCAAAGACAGAACGAATTCTGGCCAGTTTCGGAAAAGTATAATAATTGTATTGGAATTCGATCAAAACACGTGATATCGGGGCCGATTAGGGTCCCTCTAAGCTATGTTGAACCGAAGGTGCCGGCTTTATTGCATGCCGTGATTTGATAGTCGACGCAACACAAATTACTGAGACTGCTTTTTTTGCAAATAGCAAAACCAGAAATAACTACTATTGCTAATTAATCTTCGGTTTTTTATATTTTTTAACTTTCCAAAGTGCATGCACACAACTGTTGATTTTAAGGCAGATAAACGCATTAGAATACGGCTTATATTTGGCTACACAGTGCCTAGTGATACTGATTCGAGCCAGAACCAGTACCATCTTTCATTATCGTCAGATATTAACCATCTTACTGGTGAAAATATGAAAATTTGCATTTAATTATTCATTAATGGAACCTGTTAAGAAGAATAAAGATTAATATCTTGGTTGACATTTTTTCGTTCTGTGGCCAGTTATTGAGATGGACTGTGAATTTAGTGATTTTAAGAAGAACTGTGTAAATGATTTTGGGACGAGTCAAATGCTGTTACCTACTTGAATAATCTGTTTCTCAAAGGCCTTGACTTTTAGTACAAATTGATATATCAGTTATGTCTTTCACCTGCCAAAGTATCACAAAGTTTGGACAAAAGAAACACTATTTAAGTTTGCTGCGTATTTGATCTTTGTTGTTGTACATAATTAGAATGACGAACACCTCCTATCTTTCACGCTGACTGCAGAAGGTAACACAACATGTTTTAATTTCGAAACTTAAATTATTCCAATTTCGTTTTTCTTTTTTTTGCATTTGACACCTAAATAACAGTCAATTTGTTTCGGAATGTACGCGAGGTGTTTGGTTTGTAATGGATTTTAGGTAACAAACCAAAAATCAATAAACATTATCTTGCAGTCACACAAGAACAGAACACCTTTTAGATATCAGGTGAATATTTCAAACCTACTTAAAAAAATATTGTCTGTATTTCGACGATAATGTAACAACAATAAATCGAAGAATTATGCTTTGACTTCGTGTAAGAATACGACGACGGGGAATTTTTGGAGCAGACGTCAAGCAAGCAGGAACTAAGTCTGATTTTTGATCAAATCTAAATAGTAAAAAATACATTTCCCTTTTTCTCTGATCCGACAGGTACAAAACCATTTATTCTGGACCCTTTTATTAGCCATCTATATCCGTCAACATTTATGACCGTGAACATGCTGCCATACTTTTTTTTGCCTAGGTGACGAATTTGAACGAGAAACCGTGACGCCCGCTTGGTTTTTTTGACTCTAGGCATAACATTTTGGAATGTGCACCAAGAAAAGAACAAAAAGTCAAGCAAAATCATGCTTTGGAAGATATATCAAGCCACCTTCTGCAACTCAAACATATTGTGCTACTTAAAAAGGTAAATGTCAAGACTACACGCTGAGCACTTGATCCTGCAAACTCTTTTCAAGAGTTCTGCCGACCTTTTGACGCTGAAATTTTACTTTTAGAGTATACAATATTAAGTTTCACGTGCACACCGGAATGAGAAGTGTGCTTAGGAGTTAAATGAAAGTCCTTTTCAACGGTCAGAGTTGATCTCTTCTAAAAGAAGAAGAATTAGCCATAGGGTCAAAAAGATGTATATTTAATAACCAAACATGAGTGTGCAAAACATTATGCAAATCCGATTGTCTCTGCAAGCATTATTACAATTAGATTGCGACCAATCAGCTTCGAGGGAAGATGTGGTTGGCGGTGGATTCGTCGAGGGCTCATTGGCTAGAGGCAGCCCGCACTCACAGTTACATGGCTCACAGTACGTGTAGATTCGGCTTGCAGCGACCTCTAAAGTGGCCTGTGTCAAGACAACAATCACTAGTGCCGACAGAAATCTCGCATGCATGTTTAGTGTCGTTCAGTTGTTCCTGAAGACATTGCAATTTATATATGCCAACGCGTGTAACAAATGGACCTAGTCTGTTTGATTTCGCTGCTCAAGTATTTACAAAAGATTCATAAATTCTGGGCTCTTCGTTGTCGGCATTTAGCGGTGGTTTTAATTACAAATCGCTCTTTCACACACATTCGCACACATCCTTTCATTATGCCAAGAAATTTGCGTATTTGTATGTTTGTAGCACCACTAAACTAGCATTCGCTTAACCTGTTTTCTAGCTTGTTTAGCGTTACGCAAACTAATTAACTTGTCCCCAATTACCTACAGTTTTAATTAATGCTTAAATAAATCAACCACTCAAGTCATTTTTTCTTAAAGATTCTTCTTCTTTTTTCTCAAAAGTTTCATCCTAAATTAAATCCCAAAATTGATATTTACCCACCAATTTATCCATGTTGGTGGTGTTTGATGGTGTAACTAAACGAAAAAAAATTCGATTTTACTACACTAAGTGAATTGCTTTCGTTAAAGTTAAATGCTATAATAAAGCTAACATGATTAAAAAATTGATTCTTTTGCCTTAATATGGAATATCATTTCAACATTTTGCGAGAAAGTTGAGTTTAAATCACTTGGGTCGTAGAAAGAAAACACTCAGCGATGTTTAAAACACAAGTCCCTAAGCATAGTTACCCAAATATTTAAAAAAGGTTTTTAAATCATTAGACATTCGGCGAGAGGATTTCATTCTTATTATTCAAATGCTTTCTTATCGTTGCTGGGGTTATTAGTAGTGACCTATAACGACAGGGAAGCAGGTGGATTTTAAAAAAAACGTTTGTTTACTCGTAGGCACGTGAATAGGGCCTCATGTTTAGCTAACCAGATTCAATGAACAAAAATCGATGATCGATAAGATGAGCCATCAGCTGGTAGCCAATGAATCACGTTCATCGATCGCCATCGCGCACACAAAACCATGGATATTCGGTGCGGGAATCGATCGCAAACTTGCGCAAACGTGCCTGGATTAGCAAATAAACCCGTGTTTGCACCTGGTTAAAAGTATCGAATTTTTTTGATAGTGGAAAATCTTGCGCGTTCATGTTACCTTTAAACAAACGGCTGAAATCGGAAGTGGTTGTGTGACTTTTGAAATCAGTGCAGCGAAAACATATTTCCCGCTTCAAGTGCCGCAGTCAAGCACGCAAATTCATCACAGAGATTATTAATGCCTTATCACTAAGGCGGCATTTGGCGAGTTAGTGAATGATGGTAACACTTGGAAGCAGTCTCGTCGCTTCAGATTGCACTTAGCAATCACGGTTGGGTGGCAGTGTACGCGGGATTTTTAAGTACATTTACTCTCAAGAAAGCAGCCTGTTTACAATTTAATTAAATAGTCTTGCATGTTCGTTTACCTAGATGCCTAGACAACCCATTTTAGATTACTAATTATGCACTTTGTCTGCCACCTAGAAACGGGAAGATTCCCGCTAAAATCAATCTGTTCATCACTTCATTGGTAAGTTTGAATCATCAGTTAAAATCGACTGTTCGTACATCGAAATCGGTTCATATTTCTCGATAGTAGCCTTTTCTTCATAATTCCCAAGAAGCAGAGTATGCGCGATTGCGCGTGAGTGAAGATTACTGGTCCCGATGACTCATCCATGTTTTTCATTGGTTGTTCTTATCTTTCGCTCATCCGCACGCAATGACACACTTGGCTGGTTTGTTGCTAATACTCGATCGTGCCCGTTATGACCTGCCTTATCTTTGTTAAATAGGAAGGCTGTGAGGTGATGGTAGCAAGAAACTACGCGCTTCATGCTCGAGCCTAACCGATAATGCCAAAGTAAACTACAAATTCACAGTCAGACAGATTAAGGTTAGATATCCTACAGTTCAGATGGATTTGTTAAGGTGAATAATCGATTTCACTGACAGACAGAAAGAAAGGTCAAGTTCGCAAATTCAGCTTTGTGGAACTGCATCGGGTTGGTTCCAGTGGTTTTCGATAGTAAAGTAGCTACTAATTGCCAAATTATTAGTGTAGACTAAGTAGTCTCCGAGTTACTAATGAGGTAGTCCTCGCGTATTGATTTTTGATTGGGTATCAAAAGTCATTGCCTCTCGGTAGCCTTGATTTTCACCGCCAACCACAATTCTAACCATCTAGACACACAAAATGGCCCAATTTGTGGACAACTTTCACTTAAATCGACCTACCTTGACCAGAAAGAACCGCCTCAACCACCAAAGCGGCAAAAATGAGACACGCTTTACACATTTTTTTAAAAATTAAATGCACTTTTACTTCAGGCTGATTGGTGATGGACAGCATCTTACCATTGCAAGCGTGAAATCATAGCAAGAAATTGAAATTTGTCAAAAGAACGCCAAATACTACCAGGTTTTTGACTTTTAATCCCCTAATTTTAAACACAAAAAGTTCCCGTTTTTTAAGAATTGATTTTCAGTAATTGTCATAAGGAAAGAGAAGCCGAATAACACGCTTTAACCATTACATCCGTGTAAGAACATTGAATTCATTTAAATGAATAAAAACAGCCCCATTACTTTGCCAATCATATGCCACTGTCAGTTGAGAGCAAGGACAAGCAAATTTTTGAAATTTAAATGAGTCCGTCAGGTTTAAAGAAGGGCAATTTGTGTGCCACCCTCAAAAGACATAAAATGGGTTGTCTTAAAATATTTTTTTGTAAAATCCAGAAAACATTAAAATCTGGTCTGTCGGTTGCTGTTTGTTCAAACTGACATGAACAGTTTTTGAATTGTGCACTTTTTGATTTATCAGCAATTCCAATCACTCACAGACTAAACATTGATTTTCTAAGGTCGACAATTCAGGCAACGATTATACAATCAAAAATTGGAGGCGCACCATACTTGAGAACTATCGATTAATCGAAGAAATTCGAGTGCTGATTGGATTGCTAGTTGAAACTGTTAAAAGATTAACGTGGTTGGTTGATCGTGGATGCAATAGTGTTACAGACAACAATTTAGGTTTTAACGATGCAAATTAAAACATGCAATTTTTCGCTCAAGTCGACTGATAAACCTCTGAGGAGGATTTGAACCGTGCCTGAGGCAATTCACGATGAATTACATGGGTGTCGCGAATCCAGGCCCACCGTCCCCCTTTTCGTATCCCACTTACCACGTTTGTGTGGACTCGTCTGTCTACAAACTCAGTCCAGCTGTCGCCAAACGGTGTACCTAATCTCTCCCCATTTGTCAAAGGCAACATTGTATGCACAGAGGGGCAGCCCACAAAACACCACTCGTTTGAGCTATAAACTAGACCATCTTCGTTGACTCCCCCGAAATTTGCGCAGTGTAGTTCTATCAAAATGTCTAACTACATAGATTGCCAGTTAAAAGAGTTAGCAAACAATTGTGTGCACAACAGGTTTGGCACAAAAGAGCTAAATGGAAGCATTTGAACTGTCAACTATACAAAATGCGTCGGAATGTCTACTTTCTGCGTTAGGCATTGTAGGTCATTTTCTATGTACTGCTAAAAAGTTTTCGGTGCAAATAAAAAATTTTACGAACTGATTGTTTTTTTGTTAAGCATACTTTTGCATTCAACCAAAAATTTTTTCAAACCGTGCTTTCAGTTGAACGAATCCGATGCGAAGGATGCACCTTACGAATTCAAATCACTCGATCAATCACGACTTGTTCATTGGCTGGGAGCTAATTGCCAACGCGCCAATTTCATTGGCCAAAAATTAATTGGCTATGACTAAATTACTAACCAATTAAATATTTGATATTTGTGCATTTTATCTGGACTCAATAGGTACTGTTAAGTACTCTTAAGAGGGATGACCATGATGCCGCGGAAGGGGTGATCATTAGGAAAATTAAACGTCTTCCTAAATGTCCGAGTTTTAACATTATTTCAGTAGCAACGAAGGTGTTCTAAGCAAAAATGCGAATTTCATGTACACCTTATAGGAATTCCGTGATTTTGCGTACCCTACACCCCATCAGCACTTTTAACACAAGGTCACTTGGCTGGTGATGTGAGCTGGTTACATCAGTTCCTCCGACGCATCGATGACATAGAAGGGTGTGGCACTCGGTACCAACATTTATCATGGAACTGGGGCACGGCCTGGCAAGCGGTACCTTGTCGCCAAGTAGTGTGACGTCACAAAAGTACGATATTTCGAAAAAAACTTCAGGATTAATCTATTTTAAACGCTTGAAATGCTTTTTTAAACGTTGAGTGATTGCAGAATTGATTTTGGATGAGATTTAAGCAAAGTTATAATTCACGTATGCAGATGAAAAAGGAGTTCTAGTTACTTTTTGATAATATGTAAGTAATTGGTTCTCATTGCTGTGATTACAACAATTGACGACGCAGCATTTAATTACAGATATCTAAATTAAATCAAAAATACATTCAGAAGAACTTTACCTAGTTGAACAAACACAAGTTACAACAAGGGTACATTTGTGATCTGTAGTTTAGACGGCAAAAATACGAAGATGTCTTGTACTCCTATGATTTTAAGGTCAAGCAATAAATCATCAGTTCATCACAAATTAAAGAGAATTATGGGTACATTAATCAAATATACAATTTCCATCCTTGTAAACGACTTCAAAATTAAGCACACAAGTGTTGTTTACTGGAGTTGAGCTAACAAGGCGAAGTGCATTGAACCCAGGAGCAAATTGAGAACAGAAGGCGCCAGAGCACCTGTCTTCAACATGGGAAGATATCGCAGGGTTGTGTATTGTGGTGCATTCTTTCATGTGATTGGTCGATTTTTTTTGGACTTTTGATCAGTTTGGGCAGCCACTCAGAGATTCAGGTTAGAATGATGAAATATTTTGATTTGCAACAAAAGTATGAAAAGTACACAGAACTCAAATAATTAGTTATTTAGTAACCACATCTGGTCAGTTCCGATTCCAATTCATTTTCCAGCTCCAAGGACCAATATGTTCACATAATAGCTTGATTTCACGAACTAAGGTCATCGAAAAAATAATAATTTCGTTTAAATTTCGGCGTCCTGAAATTTGATGACGCAGTTGTAATTGTGATCATCTTCCATAAATTAATTAGATTAAGATGGGAAAATTCATGGACCATTAGATGGCATTAATTATTTTTGCGAATTATTTTTTTTAAAATTTTGATGGAAGTTGAGCTTCTATTATGGATTAGTATAATATAAATTTAAATTTGTTTAAAAAATTTTCGATTTTTTTACCGAATACTTATTGATCAACTTCAACAAGTGATTTAAATCTATTGGTTTAGATAGCTCCATGTCAATTTCCTTGATTTTGAAATAACTAGTAGTGCCATTAATAGGCGTTTTGCTTTTCTGAAGAGTAAAACACCAGAATATAACTGGCAGCATTACCTTTGCATTACTTGTATGAATTCCCATGAATACATTTTACCCGTTATAAATGCAGTGAAGAGGTGTCTCAGGCATACTAAAACATTCGGAAATGTTTAGTCACTTTTTAACAAAATATTTGTCGGAATGCAATCTGTTTGCTAAGTGGTGCCTAAGAGGTTGCGCCTAGTTTGAAAGAGTGTTGTGAAGGTTCGGTTGTCCCATATTGAAACTTATTTGCATCATAGCCCGAAACATCCCAAAAGTAAAGACATGACAGAAGACGTTAAGGGCTATGATGTATTGAAGTTTTGTTGTTAGTCAAGTACGTCTTAGTGCACAAAAAGGGAAAAAGGTGTATTAACATAAATATACTGGTAAACAAGCTGCACTTTATAGGGCATTCTTATTTGAGACGTAAATAGATCTGCTGGTTTTTAATTTAACTACAGTAACAAACACAAAAGTTGCCTTAACTGTCTTTTAAAAGCATAATTTAAATGGAAGCGAATTGAGTTGACATAGAATGAGAAGTGGTCATTTCTCCTTGCCTTTCAGATTTCCTAGTTTGCTTTAAAATTCAATTGATTTCTATCGTATATGTAATTAAAATTTAATAAACCAATTTTACAGAAAATGCAATAATATGCTTAAAGTATTCCGGGTTTGGAACGTTGTTTTAAATAACTACCGCGTACATTCTCGGCGTGTGATCACATATGATCCTTTTTCGAATTAGATTTGTTTCGAATTGATGTAGGTATTCCTCTGTCCACTCTGCTTCTTTTTTTCTAAGTAAGTGTACGTGATTTTTAATAAAACTCTCTGTTGATTTTACGCTTTAAACTTTATAGCTTGTCTAAGTTTCATGGGGTTTGAAGTGCGCTTTACACTGAAACACGACAAATCTAATATCTTGATGATTAAAGCGCTCATGTAATAGATTTATGTAATTTTTTTAAAATTTAATATTAAGTTAAATAGTTTGCACTGTGATCAAAAGATGTCGTTTAGAGGGTACGGTTAAGTGAATTTCTTCGTTTTTGACATTATCCCAACGTGGTAATTTTCTAAACAGAAGTTACTAGCATAGTGTCTAACGATAACAGTGCTTTAATGTCATACTTAAATTAAGGTCTAATGCACTTTAGCAAGTCTTTCGAGATGGCCTACACAAAAAAATCTTTTCCGCTTTCCACCCACTTTGGATCCGACAGTCTTCGTCAAGCCAGTCCAACAAGTAGCTCCATTGGAACGTCATCAATCACACTCCAAAACACTTTACCACCGCCTATATCAGTTAACATTGGAGTAAAGTGTCCTGCAACTGGTCAAGAGGTGAGTTTTAGCCAATGCATCATTGTTTTTTCTCTCATTTTTGATCCCTCATCAGTTGATTACAAGGCTAAAAATAATGTCACTTTATAAGTCTAGTCTAAATTCTGACAAAGAACAAATGAAACCGTTTATTCCTTAGTCGTTCGTATTTTTTGCTTAAGAATTATATTGTTTGCAAGTTTATTGGACGTTTCCACCTGAAAAAAGACATGCATTTCGTCCGAAATATACTAAAAAAAATCTTACTATGAACAACAGGCGTTTTCAAATCTTTGAGTCATTTACCGTAGGAAACCACTTTCTAATAAATAAACGTGTTTCGTATCAACAGGTCATCAAAATAAAATTTTTCAGTACAACTTTGAACATTTATGAAGACGCAAACCATAGTCCAAAAGTAACCATAGTTTTTGTAAAATCATTAGTACCATTTCTTTTATTTGCAGAGCAAACTTAAATTACGAGTTTATTTCTGTGCTTTTACAAATCTTGTTGTTATTTTTAAAACGTTTCAGATGTAACAAACAAGCGAGATATAAATACGCTCGAGTTATGTAATATTTCCACATCAAAATTATTGATTCTGAGAAATAGCTTTTGTTAAGCTAATCTTTTTTTGAGGCAAGGCAGAGCGTTGTGACATCCTTGCTTAACATTTAAAACAAGGACATTCAACTTCTGTCAGAGTCTAAATGTTTCAAAACGATTTGCACGAGTACCTTGAAGGATAGTTATCGTAGTGTCTGGTCAAGATTTTATCAGCACTTTCTATTTGCGTTTACGACATCTACGAAGTTAGTTGAATTACAATTAAGACTGACCTTTAAGCAAAATAATTTTCGGATAAAAACTTTATCTGTGGGTAATGCATGTGGTTGTGTTTCTTTATTTCGTGGTACGTGACTGACTGAAGCAAAAGAATTTGTTTTTCCACAATAAATAGTATTACAAGTGTTCTACGAAACACAATTTCTTTATTGAACACTTGGCGCTGAGTGCCTGCAGTTTTTGCTTGATGAACAGCCTTTTCAAACAAATTTTAAAACCTTAATCCTCAAGACCAGGGAGATGACGCAGTCATCAGCAGACAAAGGAAATTTGGCAAACCTGTGAGAAGTGCATAGCACTCAAGTGCCTTGGCGCCAGTGCGTAATCTGTCGTGCAAGGTGATCGATGACTGCATTAAGGTGTATGCTAACGAGAATAGCTAAAAAGAGAGAGAAAAAACACGTACACTCAGTTTGCGTGTGTGTGTGTGTATAATCTATGGCTTCACAGCCATTTCCCCACTCAGATAAAACGCCAACCATTGGGCCAGCTTCCTCTAAGTCTATTGGCCGAAAACACGATGTACGTGCTCATTGGCAGGTGTGTGCCGCAGTGTCCATGTTGGTCCAACGCAGACAACAAACGGTGATGCAATCTTAAGGCCATAATCTTCCTACAGAATGCGGCATTTAAGCAGTAAAACGCGCGTGTTTAAGTACACCGTGCGTTTGCTGTCGGAGCGATGTCAGGTCACTGGTCTAGACTCAGACGAAACTGCCTGTGGCACAGAGACAACGACTGACCCACGTGTGTAGACATCAGACACATCTCGTGATCCCACGCCACTTTCTCCAGACACCACGTTCTCCAAACCCACTGCTGTGAAAGCGCACAAGCAGACTTTTTCTTGTGTGTGTGTGTGTGTGTGAGAGTTTTTGACGATTAGCCTTCTTGTTTTCTCGTTTCTGCCTGAAGCTGGAGGCTTCTGTGTTATTTTCACGTCCCGAAATACCACGTCGTAATTTTACGCATTAGGCGCACCGCATGTAGAGAGTAGTGCGACGGCTGCCTGCTTATGCACTGACCTTCGCTATAATTGATTGTATGCTAATTTTAACTCGCAGAAGCTCAATCACAGACAAAAGTCCCTTTTTTGCATAACACCTCAGTCCAAATCGGAGCCAAGTGCAGCGGTATTTTATAAATTAATCAATTCAACACGCTGGATTCCTTAGATTACCCGTCAAGAGCTCGTTTTTACGCATTGAAAATTTATGCCAGATTAGTCAACGCAACAGGACCTTAGACATCAACGGTCAGACTTTTCAGAAACGAAGAACACCAACGACAATCTGGAATGCTAAACGTTTTATGTCTGTTTGAAGTTCTAAGTCCGACAGGCAACAGCCTGACGACTGCGATGTGGAGGCTAGCTGCTATTCTGAAGGATATCTTTTTGTTTTTTTTGTAAATTGCCTATCCAGAAGAGAAATGCGACGCATTTCATTGATGAATTTGATGACGTAGATTTTGATGAGACCAACTTCGAATTAGTGTTAGTCACTCCACAGCTAACACCACTGAATTTCGTGTGGAATGCGTGGGTGATTGGAGGAACCGGTTAGTGTGGTGATAACTATCATTAAGGTGCAACTCGACATGTTGTTGTCCCACGTGAGCACGCCAAACCACACTTTTACTGAGAAATTGGGTATAACATTGGGTGAGTTTATTGTACGCCAACCAATCAGCTGAGATCTTGCTCCCCAGACAGGCAATTTTAATCGGTTTGTGCACAAACACGTTCTATTAACTCTGGAGAACAGGATGGAGGAACACCGCCGTCTAAATTTGCGACCACGAAAATAAAAAAGGCCGTATATATTTCAAAGGGGGTTCGTTTGCCGTGTACATATCATACAAACTTGTTAGCCGATTTTAAGGGTGAACGAGGTGACTGAAGATTCTGAGTGATTCTCCTCGTTCTTCCTCCACAGAACGTCTTTTTGGTCAAGTCGACTGAGAGCGTCGGTCACCTGCATCGACACGCTTTGCTGCGCAGCGGTTTGGACGCCGAGGAGTTGCTCAACTACGGTCTCTACTTGCCCCCCCAGGGGAGCAGGAAGGGCAAGTTTCTGGAGGATGAGCGCCCGATTGCCGACTACCCGGAGCTCCTGGGGAGACGCAAAGACGACGACGAGGGCTCCGCGAACGGCGATGTCACCCCCACCAATGGGGTTCGCATCAGCCCCGACTCCGGTGTTGGCCAGGACCCCTGCTGGCTTGAGGTGGGTTACTGGCAGACCAGTTCTAATGTCCTGGGTCATGATGCTCATGATGTTGAATCCCTGGATCTCAGTAAGACAAACCAGAACGTGTTACGTTGCGTCACTGTGCACGCAGATCGTGCATGGCAGGTGGAAGTTGCTGACCAATAGGATTGCGAGGAGATAGAAGCACTAACACCTGATTGGCCAGATTAATTATAAGAGCCGTGCATGGCAGGTGGAAGTTGCTGACCAATAGGATTGCGAGGAGATAGAAGCACTAACACCTGATTGGCCAGATTAATTATAAGAGTTGTGTGGTAGTGAATATATCATCAGACGTGTCCTTGTGATTGGTGGTAACGCTGTGCTGAGAAGTTTGCGTATGTGGCTCTTGAACGAAAAACGAAATTTGATTTAATAGGACCGTTATGTTCAACCCAGAGAAGGGGTTGTTAAATCCGACCGTGCTATTTTTCGTTTGTCGTGTCACTATGCAGACACGTTGTTCATGGCAAGTAGTTATTGTTCATCAATAGCATTCGGATGACGACGAAGTCCTGGTGTCTGATTGGCCAGATAGGTGAAGTGAGTTGTGGATAGAGAGAATGTGCCACGAGGTGTGTGTGTGTGTGGACCTTATTCGGAGCTAAGAATGACAATTGGATACTGACTTCTCACGCACTGTTTTTTTCAGCTTTTGTTCAAAGCGCGGGCGGACATCGAAGACCCTTCCCCCCAGTCGCGTTTACGGAAGTTAAAAACTAAGGTTAGTTTGCAAAATTTTCACTTACAGGCAGTTTCTCGAGTCCCATTTCAATGACTGTCTAATTAGTGTTTATATTGATGATGATGTCACTGGATTTTGTCACTTTTGCTACGCTGTTGTAGTGGATTTGGAGCAAACAGCTGCAGAATGTCTATACTCTTAATGCAATGACTGCCATTTCAACGTACACATCCACATCACTCAGCATTGAGTTAGTACCATCCCCACACAAGTTTGTGCTATTGCTTGCTTGTCTTGTGACTAATTGCGCTGCAGTGACCTTGTCAAGTGCTCGACATTTTTTTTTCAGGTTACGCAAAGTCACTTTATGGATCTGGTGCGAAATCAAGACGTTCACAACATCGAGAAACTACTTGCCAAGGGCTTCGATCCGAACTTCTTGTCGCGAAAAGACGGAGGTAACGGTTGTCGATGGTCTTAGCGTACCCAATTTCGAAGCCTCAGTCCAAATTTTGCATTCTGAGAAATGGTAGTGTCATTTCTCACACTTCGCTAATTCTAAATTCGGAATCGCGCACAACAATGGCAGCATGTGATGCCTGGGAAACAGCGGGCTTAGCACAAAAGAGGCTGCAGTTGTTTCACAGTTAGCAAATGCGTCACACACCACAACTGTAAGTCGGTTAAAGTGTTTTCGAAATACTAGGAAACTCAGCATTTGTGATAAAAGTGAGTCGTCATTATTGAGGAGAAATGAGCCGTCTACAGTAGATGGTGGCGTAAGACCACGAGACAGCATGACGAAAATCAGTTCATTAAAATGCTTTTGCCTGATTCCAGGACACTAAACCATCAATTCTCCCGTTTACTAAGACCAACCAATGAGTTAAACTTAACCAAAACAAGTCTAATCCCGATTTTCGAGTTATGTGAGAGCGCGGACATCATTTGCAGCAATCGACTGACCAATCAAGTCCGAAGATTGCAAAGTACCGTGTTTTACGGGGTTGTGCAACCGAAAAAGTGTGTAAACTAGCGGTTCCCCCTGTTCAGCTCCTTTGCGCGTCAAGGAGACATGTGTTTTCAGCGATAATCCACCGATAATTGCGGTGGGAACCCATTTTCGACGTCTCATTGAAGTCAAAAATCCCACGAACCATCGTCATGTTGTTGTCATTGAGTTTTATACGCTTTAAGGACGTAATTTAAAAAGAAAACAGGCACCTTGGACTATTTTTTTCGATAAATTTTTTAATTTAAATGAATTGAATAAGTAGAGATCCCTTGAAAGAGGCACCAAAAATCCTAGAACTAAGGCTTTAAATTACGTCAAAATCGTTTCTATGGTTTCACTGAAATTGGCGCACCGTTAGTTTGAAGGGCTCACAAGCAATTAAATTGCATTGCCGAAAGTGCATGTTTTTTTGGCAAAACTGTTAATTTTTGCAGTCGATGTCGCTCCTAGTCATTTGGCCTCTTTCGAAGTTGGCTAAGAACTATTGAAGTCGTTATCCAATCACACGCCACCGTGTGCACTGTCTGACCAATCACAGCTGACCCAACGGCATTTGCATATAATCACCTGTGAGAAGCAGGCAAGATTGAGGCTCTTGTGTTGCTATGGCACGTGCTACCGTTGTGCTGTTGCTGTTGTTGTCGTCTTTTCCTCTTATAGTGCATCTGTCATTTTCCACTTATGTCTCGGATACATCATGGATAAGACAGTAGTAGTAGTAGTAGTAGTAGTAGTAGTAGTAGTAGTAGTAGTAGTAGTAGTAGTAGTAGTATAGGTTTGTCTGCGCTCAACCAATCACAGTTCGAGCTCTTACCATTCTCCTACTGATGACAACACGGGCAATGGAATGCACCTAGGAGCAGTTTCTGCATAGGCGCTTGTCACCTCGTGATTAATGCGAGTGCGTTGTGTGTAATAGCAGCCGTGCTCTTGGCACGCAGCTCGTGTTTCGTAGCGTAGGCTGGTGCGTCACCTCACTTGGTAGTTCAACCTCTTCGCGGTCTTTTCTAGAGGCCCCGATCACGGCGGCGGCTGTGACCTTTCATCCACGTGACCTCATCATAGCCCTCGTGAACGGTGGTGCCCACATCGACTTCCGAGCGAGGGACTCCCACACCGCCTTGCACCGGGCCACCATTTCTGGCAACTACGAGGCTATTCAGGTGTGTGTTTGGGTCCAATGCGACCCTTCTCTGTTGACGCAACTCCTAGTTAAATAACTTTGAGCACTGTTCACATCTGACCTTCAGAATCGTGTGGTTCCTGAACTGACTTCGCTGTAACCCAGCGTGATTGGTCCGCGGGTCGATCGTTTAAGTGCAATTTTAGCCTAGGCATTTAATCTCACTTAGGAACCTAGGTTTTCGCTTGAAACAGTACCCGTAGATATCGGCTTGCAAAGTGAAGAGCAAGGTGGATGTAACGTGACTCCCAGTGTGAAACATAAAACCCCTTTTTTGTGAAACCAGCCACTGGCTTTTTTCTGTGGAGAGCATGTGCAGAATCATTTTTTTTCGCATTTCACTTCTCTCGCATGGCCTATTTCAAGTTGGCGTGACACTTTAGATGACCTCCCGAATTCTTCATCCTATATTCCCAGCTACCGCAGATTTCGAATTTCCATAAAACCGCATCTAAGGGTAAACAATTTTGTCCACTTCATGGAACGAACTTCTGGAAATTGACCAATTAAAATCTCGATTTTCTCACCAATGATGTGTCACTTTTTAACTACCAGACATGGATCGAAAATGAGTCAACATTTAATATCTGTTAAACCCTGTAACAACGGCGAGGTAATGACTATTTGAAAACAGAATTTTTCTTAATTAAGTATTGAAAGAAGATATTATTTAAACAATAACCTTGTGCTTTGGTATTTTTTCTTTGCTTGTCGGGATTCCAAAATAATGAACAGAAATGCCGAGAGTATACACCATTTCACTGTGAAGCGTATTTTACCTTAACTTGCTCTCATATCAGAGCTTTCCAGATGGTGAAAACTAAGTCAAATTAAGAGAATTTGAGCAAGACATAGCAGATGCTCAACGATTCTTTGTAAATTTGATTCAACAACTGCAGCCTTGCCACCGCCGTTTCAAGTGGATGCGCATGATGCATCAGTTCTACTTGGCGTACGCCCTGCTTGCTCGAAATTGGTTTATGAATCACAGAAGCAGACAAGCCAGATGTGATTGGTGTGTTTAATAAACATGCAACGAGTGTGCTCTTTTGGCCTACAACGGCACTTGAGCGTTTGCGCGCTGAACTGCTGAACACCAAGCCTGCCCAGGCGGTGGCACGGTTGATCGATGGAGGCTGGGTGTTCAAGCGGGACACTGTGCAACTGACTCATTTGTGTGCTGATCCGATCAGATTACAGCTGAGTGGTTCTCACATGTGTTTCAATTAGACCTACACCGTTAGCGGCTACAGCTCAACTTTGACAATGTTTGGCTCGTGTTTTCGCCAAGTAACAAGCACAATCTACCTTAGCGGATATCGGAAATCTAATATTCATGATGGCTTAGGACATCTCCTCGCACCAAATATGATTGGCTCAATTCAAGGTCATTGTGCTGCACATTCTGATTATTGGTTAGTTGTGGATCCAAGCGACAGGGGTGGCTGACAAGGCGATAAAGTGGCTCAAGTTAGCACGTACATGAAGGGTTCGATGGCCGGCTCGAGAGCCGAGAGGTCGCGGTTGTAGTAGTTGACGGCGATGCGTCCCATCGTGCGGCCAACTGCCCATCCCGTCAACTTCCACTTGAGCGAAATGTCTGCGCAAGAAGACGGACACACGTAGAAGCCTCTGTTACCCACCTGTAGAGCCCGTGGGGTGACAATTCAGATGTTTACAATAGTTGGTCGCTTTGCTTGTTTTACTGAACTGTTTCAAGTATCGAGCACCAAATCGAAACCAAACTAATTTGTTTCTCTAGTTGTTTTACTAACCTAATTCACCCGTTGGGCGCCAATTCAAATTTAGATTTTTTTGCGTTTGTATTGTCCTACAGCGCATCAGTGAATTTCGGACAAAGTTGTTCCCATCCAAACTGCAGATGGCAAATTTTGTTTAAATTAACCAAGTTAGCAGATGGCGTTCGCGTAACTAGTACGACGCCCACCCGTATTAAAGTTGGCGCGTATGATAATTTTCCCCAAACCACTTTTATGATTGCATATTTTTCACTTTTCACTGAGTAGTTCTCACATGTGTGTTCGCCATACCTCAACTGTAGGCGGCTGCAGCTCGACTTTGACAAGGTTTAGCCTTGTTTTTGTCAAAGTAACAAGCACAATTAACCCGAGAGGATATTGCACGCGAAAACGCGCTCTGCATGAATTTGTGAATTGTTATTGGAAGTGTCAAAAGCACGACAACAGTTTGTGGGACGGTACTTGAAAGAAACGTCGGTTGTTATTGAAGTATTAGCTTAGCATTGACATCAAGAGTTGAGAGAAATTGATGTGTGCGCGCACGAGGTGACTCCTAAATTGAAGTAAATGCAGGCACAATTTCATTGGTGCGTTTGCAGACCCTACTTGATCTGGGTCAGAATCCCAACTGCAGAGACTGGCAGGGTTTGACGCCGCTCTACCACGCGGTATCTACGGGCATCTCTGCGCGCTGCACTCACGCCCTGCTCTACGACCACGCGATCATCGGCGTGGAGGACGAAAACGGGTTTCAGGAGATCCATCAGGTGCGTTGTTGGCCACAATAACTCCAACACACACACACTCACCGAGAACTAGGTCAGTGAGTTAGTGCCTGTCGTTTTTTAGGCCTGCAAGGCAGACAGACCGCAGCACCTGGAGAATTTGATAGCCTATGGCGCGGATCTGAACGCGAAAACCAAACGGGGTCAGACGCCGTTGCACATTTGTGTCTGGCACGAGGCCAACGACTGTCTGCGCCAGCTGCTGATTCGTGGCGCCGACACGAGCCAAGTCAACGACGACAATCAGACGCCCCTGGAGTACGCCCTGCTGACCAATCGCAACGAACAGGCCAGCATTCTGCAGAAATTCGATCCTGCTGACATTGGTGCGTTCTGGGGTTTGCTAGGTTTGTCAGATCTACGCTGGCTCAGGTCAAGGTCACGGGAAATCACGGTCACTTAAACGAAGTCTGACAATATTGATTGATTGAAGTTAATTTTGGGAGATTGATTGATTGAAGATCTACGCCGGCTCAGGTCAAGGTCACGGGAAATCACAATCACTTAAACAAAGCCTGGCAATATTGATTTATTGATTGAAGTTAATTTTTGGGGATTTACAAAGCTTTTGAATGTTTTGGAAGGCGTCTGTGATTCCAGAAGCCTTGAGACACTAAGCAACTGTTTTCCTCTGCATTCAACAGTTCCGATCAGAGATCCACCAAGCTACAACACGTCCAGACGCCCGACTGTGAACGGTCCACGAGGCGCGGTCGCTTACACGCTGATGCGACAGAACTCACCGGCCCTCGACAGCCTCAGTCTGATTGTGTCGCCAGCGGACAGTCTGTTTGAGTCCTCCTCGGTGACTTTTGATCGTCACTCCGTGACGAATTTCGGCAGCCCCAAGATCGGACGACTTTCGGAGACCTCGAGGATAAGCCGGTCCACGCAGAGCCTCCACCAACCTGGAATGATGGAGGACTTGGCGTACGCTGGAACAACACCGCAGATCAGGAAGGCGAACAACTTTGATGGTGTGTGCGTGGTTGAGTGAACTAGAAGTTGTAGTTTCGCCACGGGAACTGATACTGCCCTTCACGGTGCCACTGGTGACTCCCTCCTCAGCTTTTAAGTCGATTTTCCGTCAACCGTCCGGTTGTGTTCCTAGAATTCGTGTTATGGAATCGGACACACAGTCTTAGACAGACGCAGATAAATCCTCATGCTAGCATTCGAACGTCGTAAAATAATAAAATGCCTTATTATACTTTTACTTTTTTTCACCTCGAAGGAAAAACAAGGAAGATATCTGCGCCTAACCGAACCTACGTTCCCTCGCCGTGAGTTTCCATATCTGCTTATTCTACTGCTTAGTGCACTACTTTCAATCACTGCGAGTAGTATATACTTATAGAATAACCTACTTGCTGTTTCAGAATCCCTGCTTCCGAGAAGATGTACAGTCGAACCGTTGCAATGCGCAGAGGCCGAGTTGGCTTTGGTTTCACGCTAAATGGAATACCTCGTAAGTACTTGCACCTTGTCAACTGGTCATCTGTCAGGGGTATTCTACTTAATGAAAATCAGTAGTATTGCAACGCCTGACCTCGTGTGCCAAGGGCGGTCACGGAGACGCACCGAGGTTGGTCGATTGAGTGACAAACAGGGGGAGATTCTAATGTTGGTAAAAAGGGGTGCTTGCAGAGTCGCACTACTTGGGTTTGTCCGTTTTCTAGGACAGGTACTGGAGCGACGAGGCAAACGACCTTTTCTGAATTCGCCGTCGAACCAGTTCGTCTCCTCCGTCACACCTGGAGGTCCAGCTGATCGTGCTGGGGTGAAAGAAGGCGACTTCGTGCTCGAGGTGGGTGTGTGTGGGTGTGTTGGTGTCTGCAGACGTCTGTCGAATAATCTCTGTCCACAAATCGAAGTCCTGATTGAATCATTTCCTGGCTTTTTCCAGATCGATGGACAGGACGTGAGGCAGGCGTGTCACGAGGACACGGTGGAGTGCATCTTGAATTGTGGCGATTCCCTCATCATGCGCATTACGACCCCGAACCAGCCTACTGAGATGCGACAATTGTACGGGCGCCAAGGTGATTTCCATGTATTTTGTTTCATTCAAACACAAACGACGTAAATTAACAACATTGGAACTTGCTGAATTGTCATTCAAGTCTGCACTACTAGAAAGTTAGCCAATCAAGTTTTCTCAACAGAACTCACGCGTTAGACGCGGTTTTTGTGCCATTGGATCAGACTGCAATATCATCGCAGTTCAATGTATCAAAGAAGACCAGTATTCTGTTTTGGCATTAGTTAAAAAACCCACATAGCACAACCAATCAGAATTGGCGATAGGCATCTCCAACTCTGGTGATTGGTCCCCTTTTTGAAGTAGATCCTAATTGGTGGAGAGACATTGATCGTTAAAGGTGGTGTCGGGGAGCAGCAAATGACCAATTCCGATTTTATGCTGTAATTGTTAAATGAAAGCGACTTGAAGAGGCAGTTTTAGGATTTCAAATCTCCTCGTGCTCACGACAAATTCTTGGCGTGTATTTCAGCAGTGGATTTGCTTATATTTTCATTTGCCATTGTTGTGCAAGAGTGTGTGGCCTTGAGTGAGCCTACACCGATTCGCGTTGCGGAAGTGTGCGTAGCCTTGTTGCCTAATCTAATTATCACGCACCACTGAGGATCTTCTCTCCTCAAGGTCACCGCTCCAAGGCCACTTCAAGGTCAACTCGGATTCTTGCAACAGGAACGCTTTTAGGCGAGCAGTCTAGTATTTCGAAAAGACAGACGCAAAAACTAATTACTAGGTTAAAAGTCATCAGAAAGCTGTGTTGAAGTTCTGAGTATAGCCAGGTGACTCACACGCACTCGTCACGATGAAGTGAGCCAATAGACGCATTGCAAGTGTGATGGACCAATCAGATTCGTCCAACGTGTTTGTTGATTGCGTTTATTGAACTCTTAGAGTACCACCGGTCTGTAGCCACACCGAAGGATGAGAGCAGCAGTTTAAGTGCCAGTGACAACGAGATCTTCAGTGATAACACGAGGTCCCGATCGAGCTGTCCACAGCGTCGTTACCGCGGCACTCCGCCAATCGGGTTTCAGGATAGCCCCCGCAGTCAGGATAGGCAGATACGCGATCTAGCGAAGAGAGCGCAGTCATCGCGGGGCTACGATAACCGCATCCACGCGCCATCTCCGGCCGCGCACTCGAAGGAGCGGGTCTACGTGTTCGAGGAGGTCGATGGCAAGGCACGTCTGAGCTTAATAATTTCTTTCTACTCACACAAAATGAGTAGGATGTTAGTATTGTCAAGGCGTAGTTTTCGAAAAAAGGCTAATTGGTTATTTTTTGGATTTTTTTTAGACCAAAGCTGTACCCATTGAGAAGTCTAAAGCGTACAAAGCCGGACCAAGAATTAGAAGCAGCATCAAATTTTCAGGTACATAGTGCCGTGTAGTGGCTAGCTCGTATTACCCAACAACCCTGTTAGTTAACCGTCCGTTGAAATCCGACAACATAGACAGAGAAAACAGTCGTTTATTATTAGCGTCATCTCAGACGGGCGTGTCTTTGTGTGCGGATGAGTGAGTGTGCGTGACAGGCGACGGGTAAAAATGACCAATGAAACGCAGGGATGAGTCATCGATACAATCAGGTCAGTAAACAAGATCGGCTGTGGGCCATCTGTCACCTAGATCAATACCTGAAAGGAGGTGCTGAAGACGGGCCTCGTTCGAGGTGGTCGTTTTTGTAAGAACAGCAGCTATCAACTTGTCGTAGATGCGACTACATTTGGAGAAACGGGAGGCAATCTTAGAACAGGGGTTTACACCAATAGGGTCACTCATTGTACACAGAAGAGAGGGCTGTGCAGTCTCCGAACAAAATCCCAGTAGTTAGTGTTTTGTACGCACAAACTTACAATCTCACACTCAATCTGTCTAAACGTCAATACATCAAGTGTAATTTGATTGGTTTATGGCTTAGAATGCTTTTCATTGGCTGAGGTAATTAGCATCGTAGATGGTGCATAAATCAGATTCATTTAGCGACTGTACAATACCGCACGCTTTGCGTGATTTAGTTGATTGTTTACTCTTTTGGCCTAGTTAATCGGTGGGCTTGTGGTGATATGATTGGTCCCTTTAGGACAATTTAAACCACAACAAATCGCAGATGACCTTGAACATTGCACATCCTCCTCCAATCGAATTTATGCTAGATTTCAGGACAGGGCAAAGCTTGCAGTCACATAAGCACCTAGAAAATGAGAGTGCAAATATCGACACGGTGTTTAACGCAATTTTTTGTTTTAATTTTAAGAAAAACGAAGCAAATCTTGCGGGCGTCAGAGGCGGGACTCGAACGCAGTAAGTTTGTTTTGAATTTGGGTTGTTGGAATCGAGAGTGTCGACTCACGAATTCATTTCGTCGACTACTTCAGCCCGTTGAATAGTCACATGCGCCTTGAATATTCTAAGACATTCCAAGTTAGCTGGTATTCGAAGACTCTGATGTGGGCCCCAGCATGCGGTCTTGAACCACGCCGGGGCCACGGAATTCACTCTGGCCCGATTACGATTGCCTGATTCCCGCGATGAAGGAAAAGGCCGGAGAGGACGGACACAAGCGTTCACTTCAGAGCTCAACCACGTTGGTGTCGTTGTGTCGAGTGTGGGGTTTGCGCGTGTGCATTTATAGCTCGGATGTGTGAGTCATACATGCGCTAACATCGCGACCTAGGTGTGAGGATGCTCCAAGATAAATATTCGTGCTAATGAAGGGGGAGTTGAGGACTCGAGCGGCTGGCGACATGCTGCGACTAGGTGAACCCTGTGTAGGAGGTGGAGCGGTCGGATTAAGGGGTTGAATAAAAACGATTCACGGCAGCTCTTTATAACCGCACTGAAGTCCTGTTTCGGCATTACAGAGTGCAGGAAGCTGCTCAAGTCCATGCAACTCCGACGCCGAATCATCCGCGACTCGATCGCTTAGGGGCCTGAAGGCGCCACAGAAGCACTCGTCCGTGACGCTGGAGTATTCAGGCGAGCCTCTGGAAGCCGGCGATGAGGACATCTTCCAGTCACTTTCAACAGGACGACCCAAGGCAAGTCACTCGCTCGACGACGTGAGTGAGGCTGTTGAAGTCTTGTATCCATCGCGTCAGCCCGACAAAGAAACCAAGCGACGCAATTTCAAGAAAGCCGACGACTCCAAGAACCTCTCGTGATTGGGTGCGTTTGTTTGCGCAGAGCTATCTAAAATTGATTAAAACAACGCCTAACCTAGATGCCAGGTCAGATAAACTTTCTGGAAATTGCATTGTTAAATCACAAGGGGAATCAAATGGACGTGTTTAATTGATCGAGACAAGAAGATAATTTAACAAACTAATGTAGAATGATTTTAATACAGTCCAACAGACTTGAAGCAGCGATTGTGGGGCTCAAGTGATCGAGGCACACAACATTTAATGGCTGTCCAGACCATATCCGTGTTATGGTGCCTCGTAGAATCGAATAGGGAGCTCTAGAGAAAGAAATCTTAGAAAAAGTGGCCTCTTAACGGCCGTCTCCTGCCTACACCCCGCAAATTTCGTGTTTTTTTGTAATAAGTAAACACATCTAGCGAGGCACTACCTCATTGTGTTTAGCCATAACAGACGTGACCCACGAATACGTGGGTTACTTCTAGACACACGTTGACTTTATTATTACGATCTGTCGGAAATCGCAGCCGCAATTTTTTTTGCAGTAAGTTTGTACCATTAATCAAACGCTGTTTGTCACTTTCAGACTGAATGCGGGCTTGGTGCATCGTGCCAACCAAGGCTTGTTATTGCAATCATCGTTGCTCAAAATTTTTGCAAGTATCCACAATTACCCATTTTCAAGCGGACATGGAAAAACCCTCCTGTGATTGGCTACACCCATCTGACCTTCGCCATAAACACGCAGATTCCCCCCTCCCCCCCCCACCGAGATAGATGAACTATTCGTATAATTTGTTAAATATAAACTCTTACACTGGGAATCCCACTCACTGAAGTGTTTGTACTTCCAAAACATGATGTTTATGGATCAATCGCGCACTTGTTGTTCGCCACCTCGCTAAAGGCACCCAAATGAGCCTCTGTCCATTGGTTCCGGCGCTTGCCAACGTGCTGAAGAACCGTTCTTGGTGGTACCGACGCCTGGATGATTGCGGAATACACGACTCGCCTGATGAAGAAACCCATACCGGCCTAGTTCAGAGCATCACGACTATTCTTGATTACAAATGCCAAATCAGGTGCTTAGGCAAGATGTGTCGCTGGTTGGAGCTTTTTGTTAACTAAATTAGGACGGAAAATGCGTATTTGGAAGGTTTACACTTAATTACATCGTTAAATGGAAAATTGTCTACGTACATTAAGATAGCTACATAGAGGACGACTGTGATCCAGCTAATAAAAACAACACACCAAGACAGGCAGTACTAAGCATGAGTAACAGGACGGAGGTTCAAATTACCCCAAGCACACATGAATCTTGAGATAGAAATAATGTCCCAATTCTTCAGACGCAGCGGGCTACTTAATGAATGGCGTAGGTCAGGACAAATCGCTGGTCTGGAAATATCCCAATTGTTAGGAAATGCTCGCGACTCATTCCTGAGTGCACGGATGCATCTTAAACCGCCCTGATTTTAAATTTCTTCCCGAGAAAATAGCATAACACCCTGAGCCTTGTTTCGACTAAGGTTCCCCACCCGTGCGAAATGTGGACGGATGCCCTGCAAAATTACCACCACATTAATACCCCAAAAGCAGATCGCTTTATCCACGGGGATCGTATATGCGGTTAAACGTTTATTGTTGGAGAACAGACGAGCAGGCGAAATTCGGATTCAAACATTCCTACAGACAGTTCTTTTTTTCGACTTCCTTAATTTTATTAACATCAGACCCCCAATTAAGAACATTAAACACCACGGACATGAATCCCTGGAACTGCATTGATGATTAAAATCACAACACCTAACAAAAGCCAAATAGCCGCAAATTTATCCTTACATAAAACAAGATTGTGTAATAAGGGAAGTCAACATAGGAAACAATGAGTCCTTGACTGCTGTATTAATACATGTCGACGATTGAAAAAGAATCAAAAATAGAAAAGACAATCAGCTATAGTCATTGGATTAAAAAAAAACAGCCGCGACGATAAGCCACTTAGAAATAGGTCAGTGGTTCGGCATCCGTAACTTCTCTGTGGCTGTGCACGGTCAACTCACTTCCATAACACGGCAATGCTTCATGGAGTCGTATATGCCAAGTTTTCCCATCATGTTTGACCTGTAGAATTTAGTAGCAATAAGTTCGTTACCTTAACAAAATGATTCGTTCCATTAACAAGTTGAGAACTTGCTTCAGTTATTTCTACATGTTTAGGTTCTTCACCAATAACCTCCTTAAGATAGGTTTTTACGGAAGGCGTTAGA